CACAGCCTTAAAATTGCTCCTATGTCTACGAACTCTAGGCCAAAGTCTACACTCTGTATGGATATGGGGCCTTTGGGTACATGTGGGTAATTCTCGACATGAGCGTCCCTGTTTAGGAACCCAAAAGAAGGCGGTGCCCTTAGGAAAAGGACCATAAACGGTGAACCCTCAAACCCTAAACCCTTCAACCCCAAGCCCTAACCCTAAACCTTAAACCCTAATCGTACCTATGTAGGAACTTGATTGAGAAACCTCCGGTTCCATACCGCAAAGAACCAAGGCCCACGGCTTGGAGTTTTGGGATTGAGGGTTTGCGTTTCAGGGTATAGGGGTGTTGCGGGTTTGGGTTTTAGGATATGGCGGGGTTGCGCCACCGGATTCCGACGTTATACAGGGGCAACCCTCTTTGGCTAGTAGGTAAACCCACCTTGGGCTTTAATATAGGGGCCTTAATAATTAGAATAGGGTTCGGGGCCCATTATACTAGAATTATCATACGGAACCCCCAAAATCGTATAGGTAATTCTCTATGCCCTCCATTTTGGCCCTCAAGCCGTAATCTCTGAGGGCCCCAAGATGTCCCAAGCCCTAAACCCCAGCTTACTCAGGACTCTACGGACGGGAAGCGGTATCCCGTGTCTCGAGGGCACGGCTGCAGGCTCCAAATGGTTTGCTCCTCAGGTCTATAATTCCGAGAACCCTTGTTGGCTTCATCCGAATCCTATGAAGGTAGTGAAGAAGGTAGTGAAGAAAAGGCGCTGCTTTTCAAGGAAGTCCTATACACAAACCCTAAACCGTAAACCGTTTGCCCTAAACCCGAAATCCTATACCCTAAATCCTATAAACCCTACGAACCCTATAAACCCTAAACACTCTTGCGCGGCTGCGGGACGCCCCGGAACTGCTGGGGGACCTGAGAGGCCAAGCCTCCAGGTCAACTGCCACACCCAGAGCCGGAAGCCCTTTCTTCTCTTGGGCTAACTATTGCTACCCTAAGGCCCCAAAGTACTTCCTTTTGATTTCGGGGGTTCATATTTAGAATCCTATATGGTGATGCCAAAAAGGAACTACTTTGGGGCCTATGGGTACTGCTATTGTTATTTCCATTAAGATTTTTTACGGCTACGTACTGTTACTCTCCTGTTTTTCGCATTTTATTGATATGATTACGACTGTTAATATGATTGTGAGAAGTCAGTGGAGGGATTAAGCGTTTTGGAAATCCATGCACTACGGTTCAACAAGGTTCCCTGTCGGTTTAGGGCTGAAGATGTGGGGTTTGAGGGACGGAGCTGCGACCCAAAGACTCTAGAGGGACTCATCCGTAAAGGAGGCTTTTGGGCCAGCTGAAAGTTGATGGAGCTTAGCAAGTAGGTTACAAAAACAAGTTACAAGTCGGGTTTCTACCTCCCCTCCTCCTAAGGTCTATCCCGGACGGCCATAAGGGTTTTGCTGCATACTCTGCCGTAATATGCACACTATAAACTCCTCAACTCCAAACCTTAAACCCTAAACCCTCAACCCTCAGCCCAAAACATCAAGTTACCAGAACAAGACAATATAGTATAGACTTAGGCCGTCAAGTGCTTATATGGGAACCTTTCAAGGCCGACGCATGTACGATGCTAGGCTTAGAGAGGAGCCTTATACCCTAAACTTGGCCCTAAACCCTACACACTCACAGCACGCAGAAAGGAGACCTTACAAGAACCTTTATGGGCACAGGGAGCGTTTAGGTCAGATTCTCTTCTTCGGGCTTCAGCTGCGGGATGAGCTTTGAAACGCAGCGACCTCCCACGCTGCGTGACAAAGCGCTGGTATTCAGCCCTCAGGCTCAAAGGACGCGAGAGAAAGCGTAAGTCTGGGTCTTTCGGTTTTGGGGTTTAGGGTTTAAAGGCTTTGGGCTGAAGGGTTGAAGGTTTTATTTAGGAGAGAAGCGCAATGAGGGCACAAGGGGCATCTTAAACCCATGACCGCTTTTTGGAAAGCAAACTCAAGTTTCAGTCACAAGGCACTTGTTATCGTTATTGCTGAAGTTGTTGTTTTGTTGTCTTTGAAGGGGGGTGCGGTTTGGGGTGTACGGGACGTCGTTCTGTACGATTGTGGCGCCTAAATTAGCAAATCCCACCAACGAGAGCTTGTCCTAAATCGTAAACGCTGGCCCTAAACCCCATGCAAACCCTCGACCCTAAACCCCTAAACCTTTCGTTAGTGTCCATATATGGCTTCTAATTCTTAAGGCCAATATATGATGATTCCCTAGCTCCGGGAAGGTTCCGGGATTAGCAAGTTTTAGGGTAGAGGCATTAACACTCATACTTAAGTTACTTATTACGGGCTATCGTTAGGTCCAATCAGGTTGAAGTGAAAAAACTATACGCCCTGAAAACTCAACGAATCTCGCACACACACATTTTTCCAACCCGAACAAGAACGCTAAAATCCGCATTAAGTCAAACCTCTCTTGTCTAGCCGGGAGTTGAAAAGCCCGAGGGTGGTAGTGTACATTGCCTTCGTCTATGAGAAGCCGAGGGGACGAAGGCTGAAGTCGAGAGTCGGAGGCTCAACCCTTCAAAGAACCTTTATGGCAACTCTGAATAGGAGCCCGTAATAGGAACCCTTAAGGGTTCCTGTAAAGGATCCGAAAAGGGGTTTTGGTCTGGGTTCCTGTAATTTCAGGGTTCCATTACCGGCTCCTTAGCAAGCTATGAGGGTATTGTCGGGGTTCTCTAGGTATGGGGTCCCTTCAAAGGTGTCCCTTTCGGGTTTTATTGGTTTCCGTTCCCTCAAAGAATTTTCTTCTAGGACTTTATTATAGGGTTCCTGTACGGCTTCCTATAAAGTGTTGTGGATTGAGCCTCTTTTTGAGCGCCTTTTCCGTCTTGCAAGAATCCGGAACACCTGTTTCAGGTGAGACGACCAAAAGTTTCGGGCAGCAAACCGGTAGATCACCGAATACTCGGAATCTGTCTCCCTCATCCCCTCCTGAACGACCCACCAACCCTTCACCAACATCTTCTGGTTGCACATCTTCCTGTAGTTCTTCACGAGGTCAAACTTCATGCACCCCGGCTGACCCAACCACCTCCTCAGCGTCCAATTGTCCAGGCCCCCAGCACGCAATCCTTCCGCTGAATAAGCGATCCTCCCTGGGTATCAAAGTTCTCATACACCCACGGCGAACATCACCTGTTCTGCATAGGACCCCATGGCATGTAGCACCTGCGTGTCAATGCCGCTTCATGACAGCGTGTGTGGCTCATGATGCATGCAAGTGTTTCGCCCTGCAGGTTGTTGAGTTCGCACCAGCATCCTTCACTCTTCGTACCCAGAGATAGCACGCATCTGTCTGGCATACAGCCCCACGAAGCTCAAACAGGATTGGTGCCAAAACTGCTCCCTTGCTGCACCATAATGTCATCACTGTCTCCACGAGACCATGGTGCGGTGGGTGGCTGGCCACTACTGCAAGGCCATGAAGCAGGAAGCACGAAGTGCTTGAGACAAGCGGGAGCCTCCGCGGAACCAGTCTCTTCCAATGGCTGCCGGCGAGTCCGGCACTTCTGCCGCCCCATGTTGCGGGAACGCTCACAGCACAATAGTGGCAGACTGCTAGGCGATTCGTTGGGCCGATGTGCCTGATCTCGGGTGGGTGCGATTGCGACGTGCCAACACATGTCGTGGAAGGCTCTTCCAGTTGCAGGTCTCCTGCAGCTGACGTCCAACAAGCGTCCTTATCCAGGACTCTTGTTGTTATGCTCGCCAAACGGCCTTGGCAACAGGAGCCCTCGAGGTGCTGGGCCGTGGTGCGAGAACCCTTTTGAAATGCAGTGCGTCAAGGTGCAAGACTCCAGGCCCGGCAGAATAGGGTACTAGGGTGTGAACGAATTACTGTAGGGCAATATGCCTGAGGGTTAAATATGTTTCGGGTTATGCAATAGAGTGTTAGGGTATTGGGGCTTCAAGGTTTCGGCATTGGAAGTTAGCATGCCTTCTTGGACTCTGGATCCCGGACTGGGCACTAACTGTTGCTTTGTAATTAGAGTGGTGTTCCATTCGACGAATACTAGAAATAGGAATCAAAAAATACTACTCAAAAATTAGCCGCGGAATGTTCTGCTACACTTAGACCATGAAACTACAGGAGTAAGGCATAACATTCCTAGACATCCCGACCGCTATATTCGTCCCCTCTGGTTTTCCATTTCGACTATCGAGGCCGACTTCAGTGAAGACTTCGCAAAGTCAGGGCTGGGCCTTTCCCCGAGCTCTGAAAAGCTCTGGTAGGGCTTTAGGAGTGTACAATACAAGCCAACAAGTTGGAAACCCAATAGCCCCAGTCCCTAAGAGTGATGTATGGGGCGGCATTGATTGTCATTAGTCCGGTGTATAGAAACCCTTAGAGACCCCTTCAAAGGAACCCTAGGAACCCTATAAGTAATTACTGAGGCCCTTATAATAGAGCTCTAGGGTTCAAGCCGGCTTAGGCTGTGCAGCTTCGCTCAATCGCAGCTCGCCTGGGCGAGCCCGGATTCCCAGAACTTGAATGAATATAACTTTACCCTAAGGGTCCAAAGGACCCAATAATTGGGTACTCGGGTTTAGGATAGCAGGTATGTAGGTTAAAATTTTGGAGAGTATATGATTTATCAAGTACTTGGACCCTAGAGGTAACATTATGCCGAAGAATACCAATAATCATAGCGGCTCAAGGCTGACATGTTGCAAGGCTCTCTGCGTAGTCCTTAAACTTCCTCCGGGCAGCTGTATGCATGTATTCCCGAAAATAGCATCCGTGGACTCCCATAAGCCCCAAACCCTAAACCCCAAAACCCTAAAGCCCTAAACCCTAAACCCTAAAGCCCCTAAACCCCTAAACCCTAAAGCCCTAAGCTCTAAGCCCTAAAGCCCCTAAACCCCTAAACCCTATAGATCCCTTAAAGGAACCCTTATAAGGGTTCTTTTTTAGGAACCCCTAAAGCCCCGAGTGCCCGCCGCGATCAGGAGCCCTGTGTTAGGGCGGCCCGTGCTTTCGGGGGCATCATCAACTCCTGGGTTTAGGGGTTTAGGGGGGGTTCCTTTAAGGGAATCTATAGGGTTTAGGGATATAGGAACTCCTGAGTTTAGGGTTTAGGGGTTTAGGGATATAGGAACCCAAAGGGTTTAGGGGTTTAGGGTTTAGGGATATAGGAACTCCTGGGTTTGGGGTTTAGGGGTTTAGGGATATAGGAACCCAAAGGGTTTAGGGGTTTAGGGGTTAGGGGCTTAGGGTCGGTTTAGGGTTATAGGAACCAAAAGGGAAATCAACAAGTTTCCCAAATTGCCACCTAGACACGGCCATGTTGTCCTGCAAGCCTCACGACGCGATTTGGGTTCGAGGGTTTCTTGGGCTCCTTGGGGTTTTAGAAAATTTGTCAAAGGCTCTGGAGCCCTGCCAGGGTTTCGGACTCGAGATTAGAGTGTTGGGCTTTGGATTTCGGTAGTCGTTCCTTCTTTTGGGTGGTTGTCAAAATCAGGGTCCCTTTTTGGGTCCTTAGTATAATACGGCACCTATGATTTAGGGTACCCAAAAGGTGACCTGAATTTTGACAACTACCCATTTAAGCCTAAAGCCATCTAAAACTCTTGGTCGGGCTGAAAACCCTAAACCCTAAACCCTAAACCCTAAACCCCTAAACCCCTAAACCCTAAACCCTAAACCCCTAAACCCTAAACCCTAAACCCTAAACCCTAAACCCCTAAACCCTAAACCCTAAACCCCTAAACCCTAAACCCTAAACCCTGAGAAGACCTTGGGTGTAAAAGTTGGGAAAAACGGAAATTTTGGGACCCCTCAGGCTTGCCTACGATAGGAGCTTTAGTTTAGGGTTTAGGGTTTAGGGTTTAGGGTTTAGGGTAACATTTAGGGTTTAGGGTATATAGGGTTGTTAGGCCTAAGAGTAACCCAGGCATAAAAAGGATGCCCTTTTTGGTTTAAAGGGGCTTATAAGGGAACCTGAAACCTTCAAAAAGGGAATAAGGGCCTACTCTGGGTCCTAGGATAGGAGCTTTAATAACGTTTAGGGTTTGGGGTTTAGTGTAGGGTTCCCTTACAAGGGTCCGGGTTTAGGCTTGAAAACTTTGGGGGCTTGCAGGGTACCCTAAGTGGGGCTCTCCTGGATTAAGAAAGGTTACTTCTAGGCAGACCACGGTAAGTCAACCGAGCCGTTTCTATCACAGATGCAAAATACGGGTTTTAGGGTTTAGGGTCCGCGGTATGGGGCCTTACTAGTTGGAGCACGGTTTTTAGTTGGATCAGGTTCTGAAAAGGGTTGATTGTAAGGGGCTCTGTGCGGTTTCATAGGGGGGTTGAGGGTTTAGGAATCAGGAATGATGGGACGCACACAAGTAGAGTAGCGTTTCGGGGTGTTGCTGGATGACCACCTTTCTAATCACAGCCAGGATCTGGGAAAAAAGATGTCAGCTGCACAGCTGCACAGACCGGAAAGGGTTTAGGGTTTAGGGTCCTCTACCGCCTGCACACCTGCCGCCCGCAGCAGAGGCGTTGAGCCGCGGGCGTCCCGTACTTCCAAGTCCGCCTGCCGGGAGACCAGTCTGCGCAGCACCAGGCAGTGCGTCTCGGCATGGTCTCGGCCAGACTCACAAAACATATGAAGTGGAGCCACTCCCGATGGCTGCCCGCCTGTGGACAGCAGCAAGGCGTCGGCCGCGGCATCCTTGTGTTTGGCCTTGCCGTACACGCAGACGTGCAACCGAGGATCCGCAGGAACGACCACAATCCTGATCGAGAAAAGCCGGCAGAGCGCTTGAGCTCGGTTTCCCCGCTCCAAGCGCCAGGCGCCGTCTGGAACCCGAAAGTATCCTAAACCCTAAACCCTATTAAGAACCCCGGGCCCCAGGCAGTAGGATCCTTCATCCGCATCCCGAAACGGACAGCCAGCCGCCAAGAATCCTCCTGGCTATGACACCCTACAGGGCATGGAAAGCAAAGATCCTGAATAAGAACCCGACAAATCACTGCAAAAACAATTAAGGCTTGGATATTATCGACATCTGTAAGTAGCCCAAGGATTCCAAGTACCTGAATAATCAGCTATATCCCGAAAGGTTTTGGCACTAAGCCTGTTAAATCGCGGCTGTCCGTGTCGTAAGTTCTCTAAACCCTCCTAAACCCCAAACCGTCCCTTAGCACTTAGAACTTGCAAAGGAACCCTCTAAAGGAGCTCTTAAAAGGAATCCTCTAAAGGAACCGTCAATTCACATCCTTGAAATTCTGAAAGGAACATGAAAAGGATCCCATTAATTTAAAAGACCGCTGTAAAGGAGACCCCTTGAGAACCTTGCACCCTAAACCCAAACTCTGGAACCCTAAACCCTAACCTTTGAACCCTAAACCCTTAACCCTACACCCTACCCGTAGAACCCCTCAACAGACACCCCCCTAAATCCCTTAAAGAACCCCTTATACATCCCTTATAGCCCTGGGCATCAAAATAGCCCAGAATAGTATGGTCTTTGGACCACAAAAGCCTTAATATGCGAGTCCTTAGATGCCTAGGGTAGGATGGGCTTCTCCTAAACCCTAAACCTTAAATCCCTTATAGGATGGGCTTCTACTTTTGGCAAGCAGGAGACACGGATGTCGGACCGCTGGTAGCGAGGCTGCGCCCTCCCAAGGAGGGTAGTGCTCGGTGTGGGGTTTAGGGGTTGAGGGGTTCAGGGGTTTAGGGCTTTTAGGGTTTACTGTCGGGTGTGCAGTTTTATCGTTTTAGGGTTTAGGGGTTTTAGGGTTTAGGGTCGGGTGTGCAGTTTTATCGTTTATAGGGTTTAGGGATTTTAGGGTTTAGGGTCGGGTGTGGAGTTTTATCGTTTAGGGCTAGGGGTTGAGGGTAGGGTGTAGTTTAGGATTAGGGGTTCAGCGAGCAGTCGCTGGTCCAGCTCGCATCGGAAACTACCCCACCGACGCAAGAATCCCCTAACCCTGGACATCAAAATCGCCCAAAAGCCTTAATATATGAGTCCTTAGATGCAGGGTAACATCCCCGAACATCAAGGAAATATCGAAAGCTCAAACGAGCTGAAAGAAGAGCCCGCTACCGCAAGTAAACCTAGATTCGAACTCTGGCCTGGCTTTAGGCTGTCACAGTAGAAGTTTCTGGGACCTCTAATACTGGCGGCAGGCTTTGCGACTCCGAAGGGGTCTCTTGTTGCCGAGGCTGGGGATCACATCGTTGGGAGGTGGGTGGTGGGTGTGTATTACTATGAAGTGAACATCACTCCTTGCCCCAGGGGTCCAAAGACCTACTACTCATATACTCTCCCAAATAAAATCACCTACAAAACTACTAACCCGAGTACCTGGTCAATAGTGCCTTTGGACCTTTATACCGCACGGCTTTTGCAAAGATCCTTTAAATGATAAGCCGCTATTGAATTCGCGTAGAAGCCTTGGAAAAACACATACACCACGCTAATTCTCCTAGAACCCGCATAAAACCTCATAATTGGTTGTTGGTAGGATAGAGGGCTCCGAAAGAAGCTCGCGAAGACCTTCGCATCAAGTGGCGACACCAAGGCGCCTGAGTTCGGGACGCTGGTGAACCGAGCAACAGTAGAAAAAGACAGGGCAAGTCCCTCATCCTACTAACAATGTCAACATCAGGATGTTTGTGGATTGGTTTCTAGGATACCCAGTGACCTAAGAACAAAAAGGCCTCTCTTTTTGGTATTGGGTAACTTTATAAGGAACCTAGGACTACAAAAAAGGAATAGGGGTACTACGGGTATCCTAGTGAAAGAGGAGATGCGAGGAAGTCGTGTGCAGCCCTGTAGCTTCAAACGCGGAGGGAGGTACATGGAAGCTCATCATCTGACGTGCAGACTACATTCACCAAGACCCCTATAAGGCCTGGGACCGCGCAAGCATCTTCTTACCAAGGGTTCTCGCTTTAGCAGCTGCCTTGTAGCGGCATACGTGGGTGTTTCAGAAAAGAAGGACCCTGACAGAGCACCTTAAACGTGCAGCGGGAGCCATATTCTGAAGACCCCTAACTTAACTTCCCCCCCGCATCTGCTGATTCCTTTGTACAAGCAGGCAGCAGACAAGGCTCAAAGTTTGCATTCCGGTGGAAAGCCGGAAAATCCTAAAACTTCTACAGTGACAGTGCTAGACTCGATCTTTACGAGCACATCTGCAGGCTTTAGGGTTTAGTATTTCGGGTTGAGGGATTGATTGGCCTAGGGTCCCAGGTAGGAAAATCGCAGATAATTCCATACTCGGATCGCGGACATGCAGATCTTATCCGGGTGTTATGGTGTTCTATATGGCCTCGGCCAGGGCCGTGGTATTCAAGTAGCAAGTTACAAGTATCAAGTACTAAACTCTGAATGGCTTTCGGCAATTGCACCAGACTGTCCATTCTATTCTGGGTATTTCGGACCCTTAAGACTTAAGGGGCATGCGGTCGTGGCCCCTACAACCCTAAACCCCAAAACCCTAAACCAGACATCTAAAACCATGGCTTTCGGTTCGGGCCTTTATACTACTGAAGCTCCTGTACATACCCAGCTCTAGACCTATGAACCACTAAGGCTAAATCCAACACCCCTTAGTTTAGGGGTTTGGGGCATAGTGTTCAGGTCTAGGGCTCAGGCTAAAGTCCATCAACAGCCCTTGAAACCCTAGGCATCAAATAGCTCAACAGCCTTAAAGAGTATGGTCTTTGGGCCCAAAAGCCTTAATATATGAGTCCTTAGATGCCTAGGGAAACCCTACACCAAATTCCCAAGTGAAGAGGAGTGTCGCTCTCCCGCCAGCCCAATACCTTGCAGGGCGGTCCGGATTGAGGTTTCGGCTTTTAAACGATGCTTTTTATGTAAACGGTTTAGGGGTTTAGGGCGTATCGGGGTTCAGGTGGGGGTTTTAAGGAGTTGCATACTGTCTCGCAGGGTGTATTTATGCTGTCATCGGCATTTAGACAAGCTTTTGACATTGAAGGGCATGTAAGTTTCGAGCTTCACGGGTAGTAGCGAGTACAGCTATCAGTACCTGGACTTGGATGATTAATCATGGAAAGTATATATACATTACTTATGACCCTAGTCGCTAAGGGGTCTTCCAAGAGCCGCCCAACTTCAGGGGTTGGCGTTTCGGGCTTTGGCGGGTAGGGTTTGGGGTAGGGTTCTTGGAGGGTCGCGGGACTTAGTAAGTAGGTAGTAAGTAGACTTATAAGTACCCTAAAAGGGACCCTAATTGGGGTTATGGTACTTATAAGTCCCTAAAATAACCAGTTACTAAGTCCCCCGACCCTGGAAGGTTGGGTTTAGGGTTGATGGGGCTCCAAGGCTTCCGTGTTGAAGTTGCCTCGGGGTCCAGGGGCCGAAGGGTTCAAGAGTTGCGGGTCTTTAAACCCCAAGGGCCCAAGGACCCAAATCGTAGGGTTTTTAGATGCTCAACGCCATTGGGAGTATGGCATTTGGGCCTAAAGCCCTGCGATTTGGGTCCTTGGACTTGCACGGAAAGGGTGTAGCAGTCTTTAGGCGTGTTTGAGTTCCAGGTTTCTGGTGGTAAAGTGGTCTCAGGAATCGGCATCGGACTTCGGCAAGAGGTTCTACAAGAACTTGAAAGGGAACAGATGCATTGCTGCTATCGTTTGGGCATTTTTCACAAGACCGCGGTACCTACGATGAGAATGTAGCATGTGGGTGCAAAATATGCATCAGGTTCCTTGAACATCCAAGTGAGGAAATCCAGAAGACCCTACGTCTAGCCCTAGAACACGGGGCGCGAATTCGACAGCCCAGGGGCTTACTGTCTAGGGTTTAGGGCTCTTATGCAAAACTAGAAGCCGAGAATCGTCGAATACTGCAGACCAAACGAATACGAGCACACCGTGCCCTGGCGTTGGAGCACCCTTATGAGACTTTGATGAAGCCCATAATGATGTATAAAAGCCCCTTCGACCCTGTAAGCCCAAAACACGAGACCGTGATAACGAAACCCGTGGATACCTTAGATCAATAGCGAAGCCCGACAAGAGCCTTATAATCTATTAGAGTATTCAAAACTGATAATATTTGGAAACAAAGATGTAGATGGAGAGTTAGATAAATAGACAGACCGACAGATCGATAGATAGATATATAAATGGATAGATAGTCTGCTTCATTCAAGGCAAGCTGCTGACCCAGCCGAAGTCCGGCCCATCGCCCCGAAGACGCCGAAAGTGGAGACGGTTGCCCTTCAGGACCAGCTCCTCCCAGCTTGGTGCTGTAGTAGTGGTTTAGGGTGTAGGGTTAGGGTTTAGGGTTTAGCTGTAATGTGCGTGGGGGCCCTTTGGGGATCTATAGACCCTCGCAATAAGGTCCCCGCTGTAAGAGAGCCAGAAGTAATTAGGGTTAAAGAGGGTCCCCTTTAAGGGGTCTCCCTCCTGCTTAGCTGGGTTTACGGTCTTAGCCTTTGTGGCTTTCGGGATCTAGGGCTTTAGGGCTTTAGGGCCTTTAGCGTTTCAGGCTCTGGGGCTTGAGGTTGGGGTTTTGGAGGGTTGGGGTTGCTCCGGCTGTTGGATTTATTTGAGGCGAGGACTTCTGGGTGCTATGATATCTGCTATGATATGCTATGATTCTGGGTGTGGAGTGCTTGACCATCTTTGGTTGTGCTGAGGGTGAAGAACTTCATGCAAGCCACACGTCCCGGAGGCCATACGAACTACCATTATGGAACCAGGTCCCCAACCATCAGGTGTACTATGACCCTAAACCCTAAGCCCTTCGCAACCCTCAGTCCTAAACCCTATTTTAAACAATAAACTCTAAACCGTCATGGTATTAAGGACCAATTCCACTGGACCTAAGAGTAACCTAGGAATAAAAAGGGTGCCCTTTTTGGCTTCAAGGGGATTATAATGGAACCTGAACCCTAAAAAAGGGAAATAAGGGCCTACTCTGGGACCAATTCCATCATGGTAGTCTAGATGGAGCCTCGGGGCTTGAGTCCAGTCCAGGCTTTGGGAAGGGTTTAGGGATTTAGGCTTCAGGGGTTTAGGGTTTAGGGCTTACAGTAGGGTTTAGAATAGGCTTTAGGGCTGACAGCAAACGAGGGGGGGGTGACTCTGAATAGCAGCAAATGCTCCCACTACTTAGTCTAGGTTTCGAAACGACTATACGAGGTTTGAGGGTAGACCGCGATATGGACCGTAAGAATCGCAAGATGGAGGGTCGGCCCCTTGTTTTCGGAAGCTTACAAACATGTGTTTAAGTTTGAGGTTTGCGGTTGAATTCGTTGAACATCAAAATGCCCAATGAAGCACAACATTGAATGACACTACGCAAGTGCCCTCAGGGCCCCTGACAATCGAAGCCGAAAACCCCAAACCCGAAATCCTAAACATTACACATCCGACGATAGCACCCGCTTAAGCACAGAAAATCATTCTTGACCCGTTGGGATTGTTAGAGAATGTTTCCTCGGCTTTTGTAAGGCTTAAGGAGTGTGTTTTTTGAGCTTGAAAAACACCAAAACAGCAAACCCTAAACCATACAAAAAAACACCCTAAAGCGGCTTAAACCCTAGAAGGAGGCCGCCTCCAACCAAGCGCCGAACTCCAGCCGCACCCCAAGCGCCTCGGAGGTTCTCAACAGAAGCCGTGCAGAAAGACTCGGGTTTAGGGTTTAGGGGTTTGGGTTTAGGGTTTAGGGGTTTAGGGCTTACGGCTTAGGGGGTTTAGGGTTCAGGGGTTTACCGGTTTAGGGTGTCAGGGTGACTTGGGGTTTGCAAAGTTTACGACGTAAGCTTTCGGAGCTTTAGCTAACGTAAGCTGAGCTACAGCAAAGCCCGTATAGGATCATCCAAGACACTCCGAAGCCTTGTGGAAACTCTATCTTTAGCAACAAAGAAACCCTTCCACATACCACTGCGGAACCCTAAACCCTAAACCCTTAACCCTAAACCCTAAACCCCATGGGACATGTGACCGTCGACGCCAGGACAAAACCAAAGACCGCCCAGTCAAGAAACGGAGTTGTCAGAACCTCTGTCGAACCCTCAATTTTAAAGCCAAAAAAACCCTAAACCCCTCAGCCCTAAACCCTAAACCCCTAAACTCTAAACCCTAATCCACTAAAGCCCTACAAAACCTTCAAACTTCTAAAAGCTGGAGGCCCAAATAACTGGTATCCATGCACTCCCCCAATAATTATATGATCTAGAGGCCAACTGCAGACCTACACTTGGTCCTTGGGTCCTATAGTTCAGACCCACAACCCGAAACACCAACCCCAAGCCCCTAAAGCCAAACCCACAAAGCCCTAAACCCTAAACCCTAAACCCTAAACCCCCTTAAACCCTAAACCCCCTTAAACCCTGAATACCCCTAGACCCTGACCCTATAGCACTAAACCCCTGCACCCTCTCAGCCCTAAACTCTAAACCTCTTTACCCTGAACCTTAAACCCCAAACCCCTAAACACCTCAGCCCTAAACCCTAAGCCCTTAAACTCTAAACCGCTAGCCCCTAAGCCCTAAAGCCTAAACCCCAAACCCCTAAACCTAGCAACAACGCCAGAGGAGGAACCTCGGACTGAAAGCCCCTACCCTAAGGCCGCATAGTAGTTCTATTATGGGGTTGATACTTAGAATCTTATGCGGTAGTCCCAAAAAAGGAACTACTATGGGGCCTCTTGGTAAGCCCCCTAAAACCTCCGACCCTACAACAAAGGCAGCCTGGAAGGACCCCTAGGCCCTGAAACATTATTATCATATTTCTATTATTATTATAACTTTTTCTTATGAACATTACTTTTACGATTCTTACTATTACTATTATTACCATTATCATTTCCTGCAAAACTACCAAAGACCTAAGCATCCCTAAACCCTACCTTTAGCTACCATAACCTAATTTTTTGGTGGGATTTTACTATGAACCTTACCCCAGAATCCACATGTACTACTTTTATAGACTTAGGAGATGAAGACCAGACTCTGAGAGCTTGGAAACCATGTCCCTAAAGGTACGTGGACTAAAAACCCTAAACCCTCAACCCCAGACCCTAAACCCCAAAACCCTAAACCCTGAACGCTCAACCCAAAAACCTAAACTAAACCCTGAGCCCTAAACTTTAAACCCTTTACCCCACAACACCCTAATACCTGAAACCCCAGCAGACAGCGAGAGTCCCGCACGGCAACACCAGAAAAAGAATGAGGACTTAGGGCAGCTTCCGCAAAACCATAAGTGCCCCAAGATCATCCTTAATGGCTTTAAGGACCTATAACTCCATAGTGGTACGCAAAGGTTGCAGACTGAGGGCACCCTGGAAAAGCTCAAAAACAAACTTCCAACATCACCTCATGAGAGAGAAAGTTGTTGTGTAAAGGGTGGTTTCTGGGAAGGCACTGCCGCGAATGACAGCATGCTTCACTACCTCAATGTCAATGAAAACAGTGCAGAGGAGCCCCCGCGCAAGATGTCCTGATCCCACAAGCGGGTGGCTACCTGGAGCGCCGGGTGTTCAGTGCCACACTGCTGCCAAGCCTCAGAAACCACCGAGGCAACCTGGTCCTGCACGGCTCCATCTGTGAAGAGCAACATTTCATGGCCGAACAAGCCACGGCCATAAATGGTCTTTCCCAATCTTGTCGGGCCTGCCAGGACCAGAAACTTGCGACCAAACCTTGGCCGTCTGAACTGCGGCACAAAATCGGACGGGCTGCTGTCTTTCATCAGAGGCTGCAGGAACAACGAGAGAGGGGCACGCCTGCTCCGGCGAAGTAGGCACGGGCCTCCGTATCGTTCCGGAAACGGAGCCTCTGTGCTCAAAGATCCCTGCACCGTCTTATGCTTTAGGGGGTTTCAGGGTTCAGGGTTTAGGGTTTATAGGGTTCAGGGTTTAGGGTTTAGGGTTTAGGGGTTACCGGAGTAGAGCACCAACGGCCTGAACCCTAGGACCCTTAATCCTAACCTTAAATCCAAGGGTAAAAGGAGGGACCCTTAATAAGGACCCCTAGGTATCTACCTTTAATATAGCCATTATATACCCATTATATAGCCCATTATAGGGTAAGGGTCTCCATTAAGGGTCCCTCCTTTTCCCCTGTGATTAAAGCCTCAAACCTGGGATAAACGAGGCAACGCACGTTCGACTAGAGGCTCTAAACCCTAAATCCCCAAACCCTGATAAAACCTTAAAACCAACCTTACAACTACCCTAAAACCTAAATCTTACAGCCCTATACCCTGAGACCCTAAGCCACAAAACCAACAAAAACCCTAAAGCCCTAAATCGTTACAGCCCTACAACCACTAAACTCTCTAAATACCAGGTAGGAACCCTTAAAGTAGAAGCCAAAAAGTTGGAACATTACTATCCTCATGGCCCTTAAGGTAGAGTAAAGGGAATCCCATCCCAAACCCATGTTCCAACTTTCTGGGGTTCACTATATAACTCCAATTAGGGTACTTGTAAACTTACTTATTAAGTCCCATATAGTACCCTTATAGATCCCTTTAAGGATCCCTTAAAGGAACCCCTTTTAAGGAACCCGACGGTTGAAGGCCAAGGGACCTTGGACTTGAGGCTTTGTCCCGTTCTCACCACCAGGCCGCCCGTGCCCTTGCCACCGACCTCGGTCTTAAAAGGTTCCTTTTGCGGGATCTTTAAGGGGTCCCTTAAGGGATCCACAAGGGTTCCTTACAAAAAGGGTCCTATGTACTGTTATGGGGGATATTTCCTTAAGTCATAATAGAAATTCCTAATATGGAAACCCTACATTCTACTATATCGGTACATCGGACCCTTTGGGTTTGAAAGGGCTTTGAGGGATCTTTAAGGGTCCTTTAAGGGATACACAAGGGTTCCTTTAAAGGGTTTCTGGTGGGTTTACGGTTTAAGGAAATGGCTTCTACAAGGGCTACTTCGAGAGTAGAGTTTAGGGATTTGGGGGTTATAGGGGTTGGGGTCTAGGGTTTTATGGGGTTTGGGGCTTAAGTAGTCCTAGGTGCTCCCGCAAGGGTTGCTATGATGGGTTCGTTTTAAGGGTTCCCACAAGCCTTTCAGGGTCTCATGCAAGTCTTTACCGAAAGTCAATGGGATGCAAGGGTTTAGGGTTTATGGCTTTGCGACATAAAGGTTCCTGACACAGGGTTCGTTAACAGGTTCCGTAAGGCTGTTTGCAGAGCTGTTTCCGCTTCCAGCCTGTTCCGCTTGTACGCCGATGCCAGCGAAGATTGGTCCAGTTTGACTCGCAGGCGGCTAGTGATGCCGATTGCAGTCATGCCCAAACAAGTTTATAGAGTTCTTTAGGTGACTTAGGGTGGGTTAGCAGCTGTTTGTAATGGGGTGAATAAGCTTTTGTTCCGTTGCAAGGGGTTTTCTTCCCAAACCTGGGCCAGTCTCGACCTTGAGCCCCCACAAGAAAAACGATTGGTAACATGTAGAGTAAGGTTTTCGAAAGGGGGCCGCCATTACAAGAGTCGCAGTACGGGTTTAGTATCAGTGCCTTACCCGGACCCTAAGAAACCTACTTTTCAGGAACTTGTAAATCAGCCCGACATGTGAACTTGTGAAACGATACAGGAATCATAGTAAGGGACCCCAAAAAGCTAGCTCTCTTAGGGTCCAGGTAACGATTAGGATAGGATTGTGGGTTATTTTTATGTATGGTTTTGGGTATAGTTGTCGGACTTCAAGTTTCAAAATGACATTGTCATTTGGAGGACCAAGGGACTTAGTAATGAGGGCTATAAGTACCCCAAATGGACTTGTAGGTAACTCAGTAGGTAATAAACCCATAGTTACCTTGGTTTTCACCCTAGTTACCAAGTCCCATGATTCTCCAAGTATTGGTTATGCAAACATGCGAAAGCCTCTATGGCAATTCTTCAAAGGAGCAAACAGGCAAGTACCATGCACCAGCTACTATAGTAAATGCGGCCGCCTTTCCTGGCCTCGGGTATGTATAATTTCCAAGCCGGCTACAGGGAGTTGGGGAAAACCCGACATGGCAGGCCGAGCAGCAACGATCCATTTCTTGCCGTCGCCTGCACTGTTTACATTCTCAAGTACGACACAAGTAATACAGGGGCCTAAATAATTACCAACACAACACCATTTTTGGAGGTTCCTTGTTATACTATGGTACGATATAAACCAAAACCCGATGATTTGTGCTTTCGGCATGTCCAATCGCCACGAAATTCAAAACAAGTTGGGAAGCGGGAGGGCGAGCCCAACTTCCTGATCGACAGTAGCTCCTCCGCACACGGAACAATCAGAAACACCTGAACAGCTGCCAACCCTGCTGTTCTTTCATGTTTCCCAGAGGGTCCACAGATACTACCATTATGGAGTTAGGTCCCAAAAGACCATGGTTTTGGGGGCCTAATTCCATAATAGTAGTGTATATGGACCCTCTTGGTTTATGGTGCCTCTGAAGTTAGACTAGAATATACCCGAAAACCCCATTATTCTTTGCATTATTGCCAAAGGCCGCAAAAATACATCAGGCAGGATTTCAGAGCTAAGTTGGCAAACCCAAAGGATCCACGTGCGCAAAATCATTACAGTCCAAACAGCCTACCTAGAGGCTCCATAGTAGTTCCTTTTTGGGATTACCTTATTATAGGTCCCAAATATGAACCGCAAAACAGAACCCTGTGCCCCCCCCCCCGCCCCGCCAGTCCTCGAGCTGGGGCTTCGAGTTTACTTGGAGGGTCGGGGGACTTAGTAACTAGGGGGCTCCTTTAAAGGGGATTCTAAGGGTTCCTTTAAAGGGATCTATAGGGGTACTATAGGGTTTTTAGGGTTTAGGGTTCAGGGACTTAGGAAGTAGGTAGTAAGTAGGCTTAAAAGTACCCTAGCAGGGACCCTAATTGGGGTTATGGTACTTATAAGTCCTTAAAACAACCCGTAACCAAGTCCCCCTCATGGTGTAAGGGTTAAGGGCTTAGCGGTCTAGGGGTTCAGGGGTCCAGTGTTTAGGGGTTTAAGGTTTAAGGGTTCGGGGTTTAAGGGTTTCGGAGTTGTGGCGTGGAGTTGCAGTGTCTTATGGCTGTTCAGCCTTGATTAGAAGAAGGCGCTTGGAGAGCCCAATCCCTGCCCTGCCTCGGACACAGTGAAGCCTCACCGAAGCAAAAACCTGAGACTCTAGACCGTCAAACTGAACTTAAACTATCTATGCCCGCCCTAAACCTTCATCCCTCAAAACCTGACTGCATACATACATGTTCAAATACATGAATAAATCAAGGCTGAGCAAGCTGACATGAGACTCAGAAACCCGTTATCAAAGCCTGATGAAACCGTTGGACTTCTGCGAGCTGTGGGCCTTCCTACACCCTAAACCCTAAAACCCAAACACCTTAAACCCCAACAAACTACACAGTATAGTCTAAGGGTCCAGGTACTCCCTAGTATCGGACTTCTGGGCACCAAGAACCGTAAATAAGGACTACTTGGACCATTACGGGTATCAGCCGGGGGCCTGTCTAAACCCTAAACCCTAAAACCCCAACCCCTACCCACCTATAGTAAACCCCATAAAGTTGGAAACCTGACTAAGGCCAAATAGTGCTGGGATTCCCTATACATTACTCTTAAGGATTGAGAACTATTGGGTTTCCAACTTTTAGGCTTCTTCTTTAATTCCCTACCCTCGTAAAAAGAGCTCTGGCCTGCTGGGTAGTCAATGTTCAAAGGCTTCACCTCCTGCGAGTGGCGAATGGCACGGTTGACCTGCGCTCAGAGGGAGTCCATGGATTCATGAAACCCGTAAAAGCCTACGTTTTCAGGGTTCCCTGTTTATGATTTCTGTAAGGTAGGTTATTGGGATTTATTGGGATTGGGATTTTGGGGGAAAGGGTTTACCGGGATGAGGATGAGGGTTTCGGGTATGAGGTGCAAGGGTTTGTTTGGGGAATTTCGGAATCTCGGCTGTGGGAAGTTGACCCCCCTTCTCTGAGAGCCCAAGTAGCTACGACAAAAGTAACTCTCCAGGGGTCCAAAGGACCTAATGATTAAAGGTACTTGGGCTTAGGATGGGAGCTGATTAGGTTAAAATTCGGGAGAGCATGCGATTGCCCTAAGGCTCAAGATGGCCCAAAAGCCTTGTATAAGATGGTCCTTGGGCACAGAAGCCTTAAAACATGAGTCCTCAGAGCCTCAGGATTATTACCCTAAGGGTCCATGTACCCATATGCTCGTAACTTTGGCCCTAAAGTACTTAATATAGGGACTACTTTAAGGCCATGTATATACTATATAGGTACATGGACCCTTAGGGTTAGGTACTTGGACCCTTACTGAGGGGGCCCTGGTGCCTGATGCCTAAACCCTAAGGCTCCATGTACCCATCTAGTATATACTTATGCCTTAAAGTACCTATATAAAGACCCCTTTAAGGCTTAAGTATCTACTATAAATGTACATGGAGCCTTAGACCCTAAACCCTATAGAACCCTTAGAGAACCCTTTAAGGAGCCCTTACAAGGTACATGGAGCCTTTGGGAAAGGGGGTGGGTTCACGGAGCCTCAGAGCCACGGGCTGAACTAGAAGACAGGGCTCCGCTACGGGTGTCTGAGGGGTCTTTATATGCGGTCTACAGCTCCCCTTAAGGCTTTAAGGACTCATATTTCATGGCTTTTGGGCCTTAAACACCATATCTTGTGTAACTAAGGCCTTTGGGCCATTCTGAGCCTTATAGGGTTAAGGTTTTAGGGCTCCGAGCGCACGTTAGCGGCCTTAATATTCCGAGGGCTCCTTTGGTCGCTCCGGCTCATTGAAAAGCCTTTCAGGAGGATCTGTAAGGTCATGATGGCGTCACTCTAAAGAAGGGTTTAAAGAAGGCGTCCGTAACAAATAGGAAAAAGGTTTCGGGGTTCACTACGGTAAGGCCACATACATATGGACCATATGGGGAGACTATTAGTGCCAAGTACAAAACACAGGGCTGGAAAACCATTGTGTTCATGCCTTGCAGCGTTTTGCGCAAATTGCCCCAAGCACTAACAATCCTGCATGAAACATTAGTGCCGTGGGGCTTAGGGCATGGGAATTTTAACCCCAAGCCCGAAAACCCTAAAGCCCTAACCCCAAACCCTTCAAAATTCAATCCCTAAGACCTATAAGGCTCTCGATGCTGGAGGGCCTGGCGGGTGTCTTTCCGCGACTTCGCCGATACAAAGCGCTCGGTAACTTGTGAGGTCATACAGGCCGCAGACCTCAACAAGATCAATGTAGGGTTTGGGGTTTAGGGTTGGCCATACCTGACCCCCAAGAAAGCTACGCGTTTGGCTGGGTGGGGGGTTCAGTATCGTACATCCTGGTTGTAAGCTCTTAACAGGTAGCCTTTCTTATAGACTATGTCTCCCATTCACTCCGCATGTAGGATTTCGCGATTAAGGCTTCAGACAAGAAGTAGGTTTCCGAATAAAGATGTGTAGTAGTATCTGCATGATAACACCCGAGTCTCCCACTGACAGGTATGCATGAATGAGCCCTGTGTACGTTCCCCAAGACCCAAATGCACACCCACGGCCTTTGGGGCTGCAATGGGGTTGCGGATTTGGAGTTACCGTAAAGGCCCAAATACCTTATTATCATACACTGTACAAAATCCTAACCTACATAATTAACTACAATCCTAAAACCCAGTAACTCATTATTGGGTCCTTTGGACCCTTGGGGTTAGGCTCAAAGGGGCGCTTCAGAATAACCCTGCAGCTCCATCTGGGAGATGTTGGTCCCTGTCATTTGCGTACTCGGGCCCCCCCTCCCGACAGCCCCAGACCCTAAACTTGAACCCAACAACCAAAACCCAAAATCATAAATCCCGAAACCCAAAGTGCTAGACTCTAAATCCCTAGCTGGGCCCCCCTGCACAGCTTCCTCAATCCTTCCCTCTCGCACGCTCTGTGCCGGAGTCGTTGGCCGTGTCGCCTGCAGCGTTTAGAGCGGTGTTCCCTAAACCAAAAATTCTAAACCCCATAAACTACCTTAAACCCTTAACCCTTAACCCCACACCCTGCGCAGTATACCCTGAACCCTAAATCTTATATTACACACCCTACATCCAGGGATTCGTTAGCATAGCGAGGAAGCATCACCCCAATAAGCATACTTACAATTAAGAAACTGAGAACCCCAGACAACCTCCTGGTTGACGCCATAAACGCTGAACACTAAGCCCTCCAAACCCTGAAAACTAAACGCCACGCCGGTGGCAGCTTTTGGGCGCAATTGATGTAGGGGCCTTTTAGGATCGGGTCTTGGGTTCCTCTATTTAGTTACAATAAGGAACCCTAAGAATAACACTGGTAATTCTTTAGGCTTCTACAGTACCTGGACCCTATACAACCTCCCTATTTTCAAGGCTCCTTCATATGATTTCTTTATATAGGCTCTTTACCAGTGACCCTAAACCCTAAACCCTAAAACCCTAAACCCTAAGGGTGCTCTTTACCAGTAGGGCATGCAGGGCATGCAGGGTTTAGGACCCTAGCATAGGTAATCAACAAAGAAATTTCGGATCCTGAACCCGACACCCCAAACCAGCACCCCCCCAACTACCCTCTATTATACCCTAAATACCAACTATTAAGGACCAAAACTATACTGAACTGAGAACCCTAGCAAAACTATAATTTTAGCTGTTTCTTAGGGATTATAATGACCAAAAATTAAAAAATATTTCTAAGTACCCCTAAGAAAAGGGGTCTATTGACAGGTACTCTATTAAAGGGTACTTGGGGGAGTGCTGGAAGACCCTGTTCATCTTCAACACAAAGCTACACACCAGGCCCTGACCCCCTACCTGAACCTACCAAAACCTACGTTTCCTGTTGAACTCTCATTTTCAACTGTTTTCAACCCTTTAATGGAATTCATAGGGACCCTACAACAAAATAGGTTCTTGTAGGTAAAGGTATACCTCAACACCCTAAACCCTTGAACCGCCAAATGCAGTTAGCTTAAAACCATCCCTGAAACCCGTTTAAACCCTCGCTAGAGCCCTTTAGAAAGCCCTTATGAAGAAACCTACAAAACCCTATTGAACACCTTTCAAAGCCGTCCTGCCTCGCCATCTCTCGTCGCCTTCACAGCCTCGTGTGACCGCAGGTGGGTGTTGCAGCATGCCGCAAGGATTTTCTAGGTTGGGGTTCCTTCACCCTAACTCCCAGCCGCATTAGCTTGAAATCGTAACAAGGAGCGCCAAAAAGTAAGTTTTTTTCAGGGTTCAGGTATTCCGATATTCCTGAATTACGTTAAAACGTATCGGGCTCTCCTCTGACATGCCTGCATGCCAGAAGTCCCTGCCCCTCGCAGACGAAGCCAGATTCACCATGGCCTGGCCTACACAAGGAATCCTTCAATCATCAATGCAGGGGGTCCTCTTATATGTGTACTAGGTAAGGGAATCGGTGTCAGATTATGGCCACACTGGGAACCTCTTTACTCATTGCCCCTGTCCCGTAGTCAATGCAGGCTCTGGTAGGGTTTGGGGCTCATGGATTGGTGTGGAGCAGCAGGGCATTCCACACTTAGGCAGTTCTCAGGCCCAAAGAAGATTCACTTTTCCGTGCACGAAGGGTTCTATATGTACACAGAAAGGCTACGTGGTGCCTATTCCCCTACTGTGTTGCAGCGATAGACCTCTAATCGTCGCATTCGTAACATCTGACAGCGCTCGACTTTTAGCCCCTATTCAGACCCTCCCCACCCGCCACCCGCAACCCCACAAACACATCCTGTCTGACAAGAAAGTTCGGGATCGCCTGCAGCACACTTCGTTGATGTCGCCAATGGGCATCATCCAGGGCATCCTTGGTTGTGGTTTCGGATTTGAAAGCAACCGCAGCTGTGCCAGAAGGCAACCAACAAACAATCGTTTTGTGGATATGGCTACTCGACTATCTACGTGTCATCTCAGGTGGGCTCCACTCCGGCAACTCGTTAGTGAGTTTTATCTACAGACTATCTGGGGATGTCTTTTCCAACACCAACAACTCCGAACCTGCATGTTAAACATCTTGCATGTCCAACACAAAAACTATGAGGTGCTTTTAAAGCCTTTGAAAAATATTAGTAGGTAAGATCCTCTTAAGCCTAATAAGGGAAAATATAAAATGTCCCAAAGCCCCACCTAGAAAAGTAAAACAAAAATCAGGGGCCTCTCTTTTGGGTATTGGGTAACTTTATAAGGAACCTAGGACTACAAAAAAGGAATAAGGGTACTACTGGGCATCCTAGCCCCTAATTTTCGGAAACCCTAAACCCTTTATAGAACCCTTATAGATCCCTTTAAGGAGCCCTTATAGATCCCTAAGGGTACTACTGGGCATCCCAGAAAAATAAAAAAAACAGGGGCTACAAAGGGATGGCCGAGGTTCCAATACCTAGAAGCGCCTGAATTTTAACCCTACGCGGACCTTAAACTCAAAACGAGAAGCAAGCCCTAAACCCTAAAACCTAAACGCTAAACTTGTAATGTAGGAACCTGATTAAGAAACCTTGGGCCTCTATTAGGGTTCCTTATATGAATCCTACTATTTTGTGTGTTTTTAGGCTCAGGGTTCCCTAATCAGGTAAAACTGCTAAGGCTCCTCGACCAACTTCAGCTTCTCACCGACCTCGGGGTGCTCCTCCTGCTGCTCCTGCTGCTCCTGTCATGGCACACACCCCGAGACCTTACGAAGTAATGTTAGAAGGTCTAAAAACCTAACTAAGTAGAGACTAGCATTCCGAAAAAGCGGCTATTAGTAGAAGGAGCTTGGGGTTTAGGGTTTTAGGGTCCACGATAGGCCAGATGCCTGTGTAGTCCGTCCCTACAGGACCAACACATGCCATTGCAGGCTTCATCCGAAACTTGGCCCTTACAGAGATTTTGTCTCGGGGGACGCAGTACATAGATCCCCATGCACTTAACTTGCTAGGTCGGGCTGGTTCTTTCCGACGGAAGTGATGAAAAGGTTCCAGGTTTAAGGCTTGAGGACGCGGGGAATATTATCCTAAGCCCTGGAGCCGCGAATCCTGGGTGGAGCATCCTCAATACGGAGCGGGGTATTCCTGACGGGGTCGGAAACCCTAAATGTTAAACCCTGAAAGCCATCCGCGAAGGAACCTGATAAAACTTCACCCGTCATAAAACCGTTAAGGAGGAACCCTTCAATCAATCTTGTGAACCAGTACCATCACGCTGACAAAAACTTTTTCAAGCATTACTTGAAGGAACCGTCCAAAACTCTACGAACAATCCGTGTCTTCGCTTAAAAGGAGCCCGACAACCCTTGGTTCAAGCCTGAGCTAGTGTTTAGGGTTTCTCCGCTTTATAAGCCTTATAGCATTTAGGGCTTTGGGGTTTATAAGGCTAGAGCTTTATCGACTCAGGGGTTTAGTTACTGCTACTACTACGCACTCCTACTCCTACTCCTACTCCTACTCCTACTCCTACTCCTACTCCTCCTCCTCCTCCTCCTCCTCCTCCTCCTCCTCCTCCTCCTACTACTACTACTACTACTACTACTACTACTACTACTACTACTACTAGTAGTCCTACTTCTACTTCTGCTCCTCCTCCTCCTCCTCTTCCTGCTGCTGCTACTACTCCTGCTGCTGCTGCTACTACTCCTACTACTACCACTATTACTACTACTACTACTACTAATAATAATAATAAGAAGAAGAAGAATAAAAATAATTATAATAATAATATAATCATAATAATCATGTAGGAGTAGGAGTCACTCCTAGTCCCCATAACATGATTCTGAACCGATAGTTTACAAAACCCCAAAGATCAAGCAACAAACAACACCTCCTTAGCCGAATATAGGGGCCTTAAAAATTAGAATAGGGTCTTGGGGCCCATTATACTATACATACAATAAGGAACACCCGCAAAAAATAGTATAGGTAAACATTTAGGCCCCTATAGTACCCCTGTAGGCCTAACTCCCTGTATCATGCTCTAAAGATCAAACAAAAAACACACCTCCTTGTTAGGAACCCAAAACCTTAAAAGACCCCTGTATTAGAGTAGCCTTGTAGATCCTTTATAGAAACCCATATAGACCCCTCTTTTCAGGAACCCTAGGAACCAGAGTACCCTCATAGATCCCTTAGCAACCCTTGAAGACCCCTTTAAAGCAACCCTAAGAGCCCCTAGATGATCTAGGCCCCTATTTTAGTAAACCATTCCGTCCTCGTCCTCGGCCGTCCCTCGTCGAGCCAGGAGGCTTTGTCGCGTGGCCCGAAGCATCGCTTGGTGGCTGGGGGGCCTCCGAAGTCTTCGCCAAAAAGGGGTTTAGGGTGTAGGGTTTAAGGTTTAGGGTTTTCCGAAGTCTTCGCTCAAAGGGGTTTAGGGTTTCTTTTGTTCTTAGGGTCTAAAGGTCTTCGGTTTTAGGGTTTAGGCTTTTCCGAAGTCTTCGCTCAAAGGGGTTTAGGGTTTCTTTTGTTCTTAGGGTTTCAAGGTCTGAGGGCTTAGGGCTTATAGGGTCTAGGGTTTAGGGTTTAAGGCTTGCTTTAGGTGCTTTTGTTTTAGGGTTTACATGTCTTGGGGTTTAATGTTTCTTCTTTTGCTTAGGGCTTACCTGTCTTCGGTTCTGGGGTTTAGGCTTGTTCCGAATTCTTCGCTAAAAAGGCCTCGGAGTGGTTCCCTAAAGGGATCTATCGGGAATCTATAAGGGTACGCAAGTAAACTAGATTCCTGAATTAAAGAGTTTTGGAGTCTCACCGCACCAGACCACCGTGCCTCCCACATACCCTGCTGCATCTCGCGTAGGGGCTCCCAGGCAAAACACTAACTGTCAACCGCCCAGACCCCAAAGCGTCCTAATACCTAATATGGGGGATTCTTACCCATATCATAATACTAATTCCTACAAATTATGGAAACCCCACTCTCACATGTACTTAAGACCCTTTGGGTGAGCCTTAACAGCTTGCTGACCAGCTCGGACGTCTTAGGGGCTCCTTAACGGGTTCAAGGACCTCCATGAAGGCTTCAGAACAGTCTAATTTTGACAACCCAGATACTAGACCCAAGAGTAACCCAGGCATAAAAAGGATGCCCTTCTTGGCTTAAAAGGGGGTTATAAGGGAACCTGAACCCTAAAAAAGGGAATAAGGGCCTACTCTAGGTCCTAGGATACATCTCTGGCACAGCCTGGCTCCCAGGAGTCGGGCAAGCAGTCCTCTCCGATTTCCTTCAGGGCCCCGCGAGATTCGTAAGTCTTTGAAACGAGACTATAAGGGCTTTGTAAGGGTTTAGGGTTTAGAGGTTTAGGGGGTAAGGGACTAGGGTTTTGAGGGTTTAGGGGTTATATAGGGGTTGAGGGTTGGGGTTTGGCTTCCCAGAGTCTTATAGGTGTCTCGACAGCATCCTTTCAGGGCTTTGTAGGGGTCTCAACAAAACAGGGTCTTGCAAGGGTCTTAGGGTTTAGGGGTTTAGGTTTGTATGGGGCGTCTCTAAAGTGTTTTGCGATAATTAGAAGGGTCTATGTCGGTGCTATAAGAAATTTGGACTGTGGGTGTCAGCAGGGTTCCAAAGCGTATGCAAGAGCACCATTCCTCTTTCTTTTACTACTATTTGCTTAAGAACCCCCGAAAAATAAAAACTGTATTCCTTATAGGGATAATATGGGGATTATAGTTCTTATTTTTGGGGGGTTCTTAAGCAAATAGTAGCTTATCTCGTAAAGCTCTAGCAATATCGTTTAAGTTGTAAGTTGGCTCCCCTCACTATGATGTAGGCAATAGTCATGAGTTGCCTCAATACGCAATAATGACAGTAGGTTACATACAAGAATCTACTGAGATTAGAAACAACAGACGTTTGCGCTTGGGCGGCATCACATGGTGAAGCGATCGTAAACCCTCATCCCCTGAACCTCAAACTCTAACCCCTGAATCCCCAAATCCTAAACCCTCTGTTTAAACCCCTACGCCTGAAACCTCTTAAACTCCTAAACCTTCCCTAAACCCTAAAATCCTAACTCCTAAACCCTAAACCCTAAAACCCTAAACCCTAAGGACCTCCACACCAACAACAACCCTAAGGCTCAAAATGACCCAAAGGCCTTATATAATATGGTCTTTAGGCCCAAAAGCCTCAAAATATGAGTCCTTAGAGCCTTAGGGCAAAGGTTGGGATCAGGGTTCGGGTTGAGGGCTCGGCAGTTGAGTCTCGTGTCAAGCACTGGCATTGAGTTTAGGGGCTCGGGATTTGGGGTGTAGGGTTTAGGGTATTGTTTAATGGGTTTAGGGTTAGGGTTTAGTTTTTAGGGTTTAGAGGTTTAGGGTTTAGTTTTTTGAGTTTAGCGGTATAGGGTTTAGGGTTCAACCGATCTTCTGGTTATGACAGATGTCTTAAACGCCCATGACCTCAAACCCGCCGTGTCTTCGGCTACCTTAGGATACCCTGCTACACCCTAGATTAGGCTGCTTCCCACTTGCCCACCCCGCACGAAGTCCTGAATCCCTAACACCCTTGTCCTTTTAGAAATAATAGACAGAGCCCTATACATATATCCCTTAGTAGGAATTATTGAAGAAGGTCCACTAGCCGGTCTGTTTGTTCTTTTGGGGTAACCATGAAAAAGGACAAGTCCTGAATCCCTAACCCCCTTCTGGGGCTCACAAAGTCACTCGGCCCAAAGCCGGAGCTTTGTAGGGACTGAAGGGCTGGTATACGGGGCTGCGGGGTTTATAGGGTTTAGGGGTTTAGGGGTTAGGGTTTAGGGTTTAGGGGTTTAGGGTTTAGGGGTTTAGGGGTTTAGCGTTTCGGGGCTGTCAGACTCAAGGATCTCAATGCTTGTAAGTGCCATGCTCGGCTAGCTAAGTTTCACGGCCAGCGATCTTCCCCCCCCCCTAGGGGTCCATGTACCCATATGGGTGGTTGTCAAAAGTAATTATGGCCCCTTTTGGTAGGGACCCCAGAAAAGGGGACCCTAATTTTGACATCCTCCCATATAGCATATGCCACGACTCCTTGCATAGGCACTTTTAGACGGCTGTCTAGAGTATGTTGTAAGTACGTGGACCCTTAGGGCCCAGGTTCGTGATGAGAAGTCTTCGAAGCAAGGTCACGACTGCAAGATGGTGAAGATGACGATAAAGTCTGATGATGATGATGATGATGATGATGATGATGATATTGATGACGATGATGATGATGGTGATGGTGATGGTGACGACACATTGCGGCTGCTGCCCCTCAAGCCTACATCCACGTGATAGAGCCCTGTGACGTTGGAAACTACGAGAACAAAGGACTCCCCAAATGACTCCGGAACACTCTCTAAAACCGATCTCTCCGAACCGTGATCCGAAACATGTACATGAGAGCAAGGCAAGCACATCCTTGAAGCAAAGTCCTGCAAGCCCGGAACAACTGCCCTAAACCCTGAAACCCTAAACCCTGAGCCCTTGAAGCCCTGAAACAGACTATACTGGACTTAGAACCCTAGCAAAAATTATAATTTTAGCGGCTTCTTGGGATTATATTAACCAAAAAATATAAATTATTTCTAAGTACCCCTAAGTTGAAGCCCTGAAACAGAGGCCTTGGGATGCCGCCTCAGTCGGCGCCCTGTTCTTCGGCCGCTCGGCTGCCCTCGCAGGTGGCTTACAGTGAAGGGCTTAGGGGTTGATGACTTACAGGGAACTCCAGAAAGTTGGAATATGGTTTCATGGTAGGATACCCTATAATTTACCATAGAAGGGTTAGGATAATCATATTCCAACTTTCTGGCTTTTACCTTAGGGGTTTAAGGTTTGGGGTTTAAGGTGTAGGGGCGTATGTCTTATTTTCGCAAAGACCCCCCAAACCATCCTCAGCCAGGTGGTTTCTGGACGCCAAAGACGACGCCGAGTCGGAGTGACCTGCAAGGGGGTTTGCAGGGCTTGGAAAGGTTCTTATGATGGTCTGTGCCCTGGCTTTTGAGTTTAGAAACCAGGGGACCTCAAAGTAATTATACACAATTCCACCCATTCAACCCTAACCCTATGCCTCTAACCCTATGCCTCCACGGACCTTACTATGGGGTCTAGGGCCCTAACTATGAGGTCCTTGGAGGGATAGGGTAAGGCTTGAAATCTCCGTCCTCGCTTGAGGCCATTTCGCTGCCATTGGCCGAGACTTTGTCCTCCACAGGGATACGAATACATCTTGGCTGACTTCTGAACCCCTCCTAAAGTTAAACTCTAGCCTCCTTAATATAGGTAATATAGAAACCCCAAAAGTTAAAGTCCTAAGAGCCAACCAGCAGAACGCCAAGACATGGTCGATACAGGCTCTTAGGGTTTGGGGGGGTTGGGGCTTGGGAACGACAGGGGCTTACGAAGGCCTTTACAGCAGTGTATGGCTTGGGGCAGGCGAGTTCTCATGGGGTTCCATATTGATTTACTGGGGGCTCGAGAGTTCAGGTGTCTATGTGGGTGGTTGTCAAAATTATGGTTCCTTTGTGGATCCCTAATATGGTACGGCACCTATTATTTAAGGTACCCAAGAAGGGACCATGATTTTGACAACCACCCATTTGTCCACTGGGGTTTACGGCTCTAGGGTGTCACGGTACAGGGCTTACACTTTGGTACGAGATCTTTCATGTTCCTAAACCTAAACGCGTCCAAAGTTGTAATCAGAGTCCGTTCGGGGTTCCACACGGGCTTCAAAGGCTGCCTCAGCCCTAAAACCCTAAACTCCTGAACCCTATGGTTTCCAGGAGTCGTGATAGAGCTTTAGCACTCGGAAGGCTTTGGAATTTGCAAGTCGGCAGGGCCTTGGGCTCAAAGGGGTGAACTCATATTATCAAGGATCCCATTATGATTTAAAAAGCAATTCTTTAATTAAGGGGCTTTGGAGTCTCTGGGTAGCTTTGGGGTTCAGGAAGGTTAGGTCAACAGTGGTTGGGGCAGCTTAGGATTTAACACGTGTGGAGCATTCACAGAAAGATAAGGGATTGGGGTTCAACAAGCTTCGCGGCTTCAGTTCCAGCTAGTCGCTGGGTTGCAGTATCCTGTTTTAGAGAACCTGAGTTATGCTTTCATCACTACAACATGGCCACCCGAAAAAGAACCACACTTAACGGTCCAAGTCGGGTTACTGTTACGGTTGTCCTCGGCATGCTCTTCCAGGCCATTGGCCATGACCTGCCGGAGCTTGCGGGTCGCGCCCTAAAGCGTCCACCCTACACCTGAAAAACCTAAAGACCCTGAAGCCCTAGAAGCCCAAAACCCCTAAAGATCCTGAAACCGTAAACGTCCTAAACGCTGAGGGTATGTGCTGTAGGGTCGCGGTATGATCGTGTTGAAGGCCTGCAAGTTCGGGCTTGGGATCTTCCTGAACCCTGCAGTCTACTTGCAGGATCATGGGACTTAGTACCAAGGGTTATAAACAAGGTTAATATACTCATATCTGATTAGAGCCCCAGTTGAGGTATTATATATATATATATATATACAGAGATATAGATAGTCGTACTTCCTAAGTCCCGTGAACATCCAAGTAGGGGCACAAAGTACCCTGTACAGGCACTTAGGCAATTACTTGGGTTCAGAGCAGCAGATATGTGGGTGGTAATATTTGGGAGTGTCTCATCGAGTTTTCCGTTGAGGCTTACTTGGAGGGTCGGGGGACTTAGTAACTGGTTATTTCAAGGACTTATAAGTACCATAACCCCAATTACGGTCCCTTTTAGGGTACTTATAAGTCTACTTACTACCTACTTACTAAGTCTCCCGACCCTCCAAGTACCGAATCCTAATGGCGGCACCTGCAGCCAACCATGGCCAGCAGGTGCTTGCAATCCCTTTTCGATGCATACTACAGACAGCTTTCTATGATGCAGTTCTGTAAGACTAGGATACCCAGTAAGCTAAGAATGAAAAGGCCTCTCTTTTTGGTATTGGGTAACTTTATAAGGAACCTAGGACTACAAAAAGGGAATAAGGGTACTACTGGGCATCCTAGGTAAGATAGATCCTGAGGGCCTGGTGATCTCACATCAGGAAAAGAGGGAGTTTGAGGTCGGAGTTGGGTTATGGGGGTTTAACTGGTGTTTGAGGTTCAGGGTTCTGGCGGTGCTCATACCCCTGAAAGATTAGCAACCTAAGTTCCCCACTTACATACCATTTATTCTTTGAACATGTGGACTCCTGGGGGAAATGGGCCAAACAGCCATACATACTGTGCAAACCTTTTGGGTGTATGTGTTAAGCCCTCAATGCTCAACCCTCAGCCCTAACCCTCAATTCTCAGCAACAACCCTGACCCCAAACCCTGAACCCCGAAACCTGACCCCTCAAGCCTAGACCCCTAAATCCTCAACCCCTGAACCCTCAACCCCTGAACCCTCAACCCCTGAACCCTGAACCTCTCAACCCTCAACCTCTCAACCCTGTCGTCTGCTCCAAATGCCTCGCAAAGATGCTCTGAGAGGTCTTCGAGGCCACTGCCCTGTGCGTCTCGTCTAGTTCATGGTTGGGATAGGAATATTTTGTTTACTTTCTTATTCCTTATTGGGTTTAAGTGCCCGCAAAAATGTAAAATGCTACCCAACTATGACAGAGTCGTGGGTTCAGAGATTGAGTCTTTCCCCGAGACTCATGGAATTAGGTGCCGCGGGGACCATCCTTAATATTGCTTTCAGATTGGGTCTTTGGGGTTTTGGAGTTTAACTTGTTTTACTATGTATGTTTGTTTGTAAGGGTTGAGGGTTTTAGGGCTTCGGGCCGTTTAGAGTTTAGGATCTTAGGTTTCCGGGTTAGAGGTTCAGCCCTCAGGTTCGATGTGCCTATTTAGCATATGGGTGGTTGTCAAGACTACGGTACCCTAAATAGCCGTACTATAGTAGGGACCCCAAAAGGGACCATAATTTTGACAAGCACCCATATACATAGGCCATGAAGTACCTACATAGGGTCTACTTTACGGGGAAAGTATATACTGTTCGGGCAGATGTACTCTCCAAATATGCCACGAATGTGGTCTTCAGTCCCGAACGACATTCCTTCATCATGTTTTAAGGGACCTAACCTAATTCGCATATATTGAGCCGTATACCCTAAATCCTAAGCCCTTATAGAACTCTTACAGTGCCCTCATAATATCGCACCCTTGCAGAACCCTTATCGGGCCATACTGGCAGGTAATCCTGAGCCCTAAAGGGTATGCGTGCTTCGACGCTACGCTGGGACACCGAGCCTAGGATCCTAAGAAGGACTTTGCTGTGGTCATAAATGTCCCTTCAGAGGTTCCTTTAAGGCTTCTTTAAAGGGTTCCTTTAGACAGCTCCGTGCCTGATCCACCATGGTTGCAACGACCTCTGGATCAAACTTGTACTGGTCCTTGCACGGGATTCTATGGGGAGCTTTCAAAGGTTTGTGTCAGGAGTCCTGCAGGGACTTTATTGGGGGTTGTTCGGCTGTAGGGTTTAAAGCAAACCCTAAACCCTAAACCCTAGATACATTACATAGCCCATTCCCAAACTTTAAAACCCCAAACCGTCCCCTCAACCCTAAGCATCCCTGAAATTAAGAACATAAACCCAAACCCCTCAACCCGTAAACCCCTACACCTTGAACACGAAACCCACAAACCCGGAACTCTAAACCCATAAACCCTGAACCCACAACCCTAAAGGAATCCATAAACACTAAATAGTACCCTGTGTACCCTTGATGCATTGCATGCATAGGTCCCTTAAAGGAACCCAGACACCCGGAGTTTTCTAGGTAAATCTCCTCCTAAACCCTCATAATCCGAAATTATAAGTTCATAAACCCAGAAACCCTGAGTTTTCATAAACCCTAAGCTCCTAAACCCTCTGCATGGATCCCTTAGAACTCCCTGTAAAGGAACCCATAAAGCCCTGACCGTTAAGTAGACCCTAATAAACCTTAAAGGGAAACCCTAATATCGAGCCTTATAATACCTTTCCCAGAGGGTCCAAGTACCCAAAGAATTGGGTTTTAGATCCCAAAATCCATACCCTGAGTGGTTTTTGGAGCTTGAAACCCTACTACTTTTTGTACTTGGACCCTTAGGGTTTAAAAGGAACCCAAGCCACGAAGTCCTACGAACCCCTGAGTTTTCCTGTATCTCCAGGATCTCCAGGAGGTGGGTCCAGTCATGGGGATCCTCCCGCTTTTGGGTTAAACGGGACCTAGCAACTTCAAGGACTCGCTAAAAGAGGGGTTCCTTAAAGGACTCCTTAAAGGGGGTTCCTTAAAGGGGTTCCGTAAACGGTGTTCTTTAAAGGACTCCTTAAAGGGGCCGTAGTCAAACCCTAGGTTTGATCCGTAGTCAGGTTACTACACATCACACATATCCGTGTATACTACCAAAGACCATCCCTGTTATGGCTTTAAGGACCTAATTCCCTAAACCCTAAACCCATACTGGTAGCCTTTTTTAGCCTCCGGCTTCCTAAAAATTTGGGATCCGCACAACTGATCGGGTCCCAAGGACCCAATAATTAGGTACCCGGCCTTATGATAGTAGATATGATTCCTTTAAAGGGTTCTATAAGGTTCCTTTAAAAAGGGCTACTATAAGGGTTCCATTATATGGGCCTTATAAATAATTAGGTACCCGGCTTTATGATAGTAGATATGTAGGTTAGGATTTTGGAGAGTATATGATTTTTTAGGTACTTGGACCCTTGGGGCAACAATCAGACCCTCCCGCACGAAGCTAGATTTTGATACCTAACTCTACCCCAACTCCTCCAGCCCCAATCCCTAAATCGCGGACCCAGTCCCTACCCCCTCAGACTCCAAATGGCCCAAAGCAGGTATCATGTATAGACTTTAGAAACCAGACTAGTTACTATTTGTATACGTGGAGTCTCAGGACTATTCCTCGGATGCCCAGTATCCTAGGAATAAACAGGGCTCCCTTTGTGGTATTGGGTAACTTGATCATAAGGAACCTAGGACTACAAAAAGGAAATAAGGGTACCACTGGGCATCCTAGACCCTAAGGCTCCATGCACCTTTATAGTAGATACTTAGGCCCTAAAGTACCTATATAGGGACCCCTTTAAGGCCTAAGTATCTACGATAAAGATACATGGAGCCTTTGACTAATCAACCGGTGCCTTGATCCTACGCAGAATCGAAGCAAGAGACACGAAGACATTGCCCTAAGGGTCCATGTACCCAAATAGTAGCCTTAAAGTAGTCCCTATATAGATACATTGGGCCCAAAGTATATGCTATTTGGGTACATGGACCCTTAGGGCTGTTTGACGAGAGCCAGACCGAACCATTCGCGTTTTGGATCTAGGTGGTGGTCTAAAAACTACATTGTTTGTAGGGTTCCGATAAGTTCCACATAGTAGGGCTTACCATAAGAGCCGACCAACATTTGCGTCATGGTAGTTTAAGGTCAGGTTCAGGGTTTTAGGTTTTAGGGCAAAGGGCATAGTGACGCTACGAACAGTTGCCCTACAAACATAAGAGGAGAGAGCAGCCAGCCAAAGTACCGTAGCCTGCTCCGTGTCGGAGAGGCTGAGATCAAATGCAGGGCAGCGCGGCCATCGTAGATCCTCCTTGATCTGCGGTTTACTGCAGCATGTGTTCAAGATTTTTTACTGACTGGCTATAGGCTATAGGCTCGCGTTGACATTGCCATTGGGTTCTGAAAAAGATACTCATCTTTCTCATCGACGGTGTTTGGAGCTGCGGGTAGAACCCCTAAACCCTAAGCCTTAAACCCTAAACCCTAAACCTTAAACCCTAAACCCTGAACCCTTAACCCCAAAACCCCGAAGCTCTTAAACCCTGATTACGTGCGACTTCTAGGCCCTAGTTCCCGAAACCCCCACCCTAAACCCTAAACCCCAGGCCACCCTAACGATCCCGAAACCCCACATAAACCCTAAATCCTAAATTTGCCTAATGCTCTAAACGGTAATCCGCAAACCCTACACCCCCTGGGCCCTAAACCCATAAATCCACAAGCCCCATAAAACCCTACATGAACCCTACAAACCCTAAACCGAAAACCCTATGAACCCCATAATAAGCCCCATATAAACCCTATATATAAGCCCGAAACCGAAAACCCCCCAACGATCCCGAACCCCCCATATACCCTAACCCCATAGATCCCTTAAAGGATCCCTTATGAATCCCTTTAAAGGAACCCTTATAGATCCCTTTAGAGGAACCCTCATAAATCCCTTTTAAGGAACCCTAAACCCCATACAACCCCAGACGAGATGCGTTGGGCGAGTGCCCCCAGGTGGAGCTCTGGCTGTCTTCCGAGTTCTCCGGCTTCAACTCCTGAGTTCTACTGAAATGCTCTTATGGGACCTACAAGTAGTAACTAATTAGGGTCGGGTTTAGCTCCATAAGTAAGGTAGGGTTTAGGGTTCAGGATTTAGTGTTTAGGGAGTATAACTCCTGAGTTCTACTGAAAGGCTCGTATGGGACCGACAAGGAGTAACGAATGAGGGCCAGAAATAAGGTAGGGTTTAGGGTGTAGGGTTTAGCTTCAACTCCTGAGTTCTGCTGAGAGGCTCACCAAGGACTCTCCCTAGGAGGTTCCGGACCCTCCTAAGGAGATACCTGGACACTTATAGGGTGAGATGTCACAATCGAGCAGAGCAAGGGGTGTTGCACAGCGTTGAGGACCTTACCTGAAAGGGTTTAGGGTTTAGGGTTGAGGGTTTAGGGTTTAGGGTTAATGTACCCCACCAACCACTCGCCGACGTTCGAGCGCGCGGGAACTTCTGGCTTAAGTGCCCGCATTCCTTCATAGGGCGGTTCCCTCACAGAACCTGATTCAGGCGACGGGATAGGTTCGATCCTCAGATTTGGAGGGAAGTCGAACTTGAGCTTTGGCTGAAATCTCATAATTTCGCGCCGCAACCACAGGGCGGCAGTTGTGTTCATTCTGATCCAAGTTCACGTCCTGCTCGTGGTACCATGAACCTCCGAGTAGGGTGAAGGGATCCTTGAGTCTCCACAAGTCCAAATCGGCGTTTTTAAGGGGGTTCCTAGGTAGGTACTACAGGGCCAAAGTAAAAAATACCATATACGCACATGGAGCCGGATGATAGATGTATCAACGGATGAAAATAGGATTCGGGGTTTAGTGGTTGAGAGGTTGATCAGATTGTTAGCTTATGCCCCCTTCATTACACGCTATACCCTCGTAATACACTAACACCGGGGTCGGACTAATTGGCAGTATGGCTGAATATGGCTTACGTTTTTCAGCTCAACTCTTGACAAAGCCCAGAGAGTGAGGGTACATATCGAGACCTTCCGGAATCCTTTCATTGAGGAATATACCTTCAAACTATACTAGGACGAAATCCTTAATTAAGGAATATACCTTCGAAATATAGTAGGATCCTGAATGTGGATTTTGGAAGGTCTGGGACACTCAAGCACAAAACTAGGAAACCTTTAAAGCCAAAGTACATACCCTGTTAGGGATTGCAAAGGCTTCGGGTTTCAAGCCTTGAGGGACCCTAGACCCTACACCCTATCGTTACCTGGCTGTTCTGAGTTCAGAGCGTCCTTTCTCTGTGGCAAGGGTTCAAGGTTAAGTGTTTATGAGTAGTTGTGTCTGTCCTTCTTCACTGCGCGTCAATTTGTCTATCTTTCTGTGAACTGTGGGAGCTGTTCATTCTGCTCATCTTTGCAACTTCCACTGAGGCAGAAGTGCAAGAAGTCTCCGGACAAATGTTTCACCGGGTCCTGTCCAACCGCTACTGATTCACTGATCCCGCAACTCGTGCTTTGGGCCGTGCCGGGATGGAAGGGGACCCCAAATTGGCCACCCTGATTGACTTTAGGCTTTCGGGTTGGGGTTTTGGGTTTAGGGTTTAGGGTTGAATTTAGGCGTTGGGCTTCGACCCTAAATCAGAACACCCCGCTCTGTTAACAAGAGGAAACCATTCAGGGGCCTTAATGATTAGAATAGGGTTTTAGGGCCCATTATACAATAACTGTAATAAGGAACCACCCAAATGGTATAGGTAACTATCCAGGCCCTTATATTCGGTACATAATATGTGCATCCCGTGTGATTTAACAAACACCTCGCAGAACCTGATACCCAGACCACAAGCCAACACCCCCAACCCCGAACCTCAACCCTAAAACACTAAACCGCAACCCTCAACCCCAAAAAGTCACTGAAGCATCGAGAATCTCTTCCATCGCTTCCCTCCTCCTCTTCACCTTTGCCAGGCATTGTGAATGGAGGGTACATGTACCCATGTAGCAATGATTTAGTTCCTCTTCCGGACCAAAATATATACTGTACTCTGTAGTATATACTAGATGAGGACACGAACTTGCAGGGGTACTGTAATACTGGTAGTAGGTAGTTATCACTTCGTGATGACCGAGTTCTCGCAACATCCACGCAGACGCGACGATACATTGAGACGTTTATTCTCGTTGGCGATTTGGGTTTCAGGGCGTCGTGAACAGTCCTAGACAATTAAGAGGACACAACCAATAACTGCGCCGTGAAATCTTTGTGTCATACGCTGCCCTGACAAAGCTATAGTGAAATCCAGAAAGTTGGAACATGGATTGAGGATGACTAGTGCTGGGACTCCTTCTACTTGAATGACTTAGGGGCATTAGGATACAGATGCTCCAACTTTATGGCTTCGACTATACATCCTGAAACAAAAACCATAACCTCCAACGTGTAACGACTGTCCGAAAGACGACCTTCTAATTATCGGATACCTTTGATTGTCCACACCCTTCACTTCAGAAATCCTGCCAAAGCTCTTGCATCATCTCCGGTTGGACCCTTGTAGAATCCAAGTATGCCCAAGAGGCTGGTAGACCACATTCAACTCAGGCCACAACATATTATTTCATTTTTAAAACCTAGTAGTTCGAAAAACATAAGAATCCTGATATTGGACTTAAACAATTTCACAGATCCCACCCAAAAACAAGAAGAAGGTACCCTAGCTTTCTGAAAACCGCTATGGACGCGCTCACCGACCTAGCTGTGGCTACAACCCCAAGGGTCGAAGAACCTGATAATCGTATATACTCTCCAACATCCTAACCTACATAACTACTATCCTAAAACCGAATACCTTATTATTCAGGCCCATATAATGGAACCCTTGTAGAACCCTTTAAAGGAACCCTAAGTACTGGGTCCTTTGGACCCTTGAGGCAAGGCAACCGCGAAATCGGAATGTCGAGGGAAACGAGATGTAAACCCCCTTACCCTAAGGCCCCAAAGTAGTTCCGTTTTTGGGGTCTCATATTTAGAATCCTATAAGCCTAGGCATCTAAGGACGCATATTTTAAGTCTTTTGGGCCCAAAGACTATACTTTTTCAGGCTTTTGGGTTATTTTGATGCCCAGGGTTTGGGGTTCATATTTAGAATCCCTATAACGTAATCCCCAAAAGGAACTACTTTGGGGCCTATGGGTAAGCCCAACCCTAAACTCCCTAAAACCCTGAAACTTAAAACCTGAACCCAAAACCCGAATACCCTGAGCCCTAAAATCGTAAGCCTTACCTTAACCCGGAATCATCTACCTTTTAAGGGTTCCTTATTATGGTTTCTCTAAACCCTAAACCCCTAAACCCCTAACCCCTAAACCCCCAACCCCTAAACCCTAAACCCCTAAACCCCTAAACCCTAAACTCCCTAAACCCTAAACTCCATTGGCAAGTCCAGGTACCTAATATAACCCTAAACCCCTTAACCCTAAACCCTAAACCCCTAAACCCTAAACCCCTAAACTCCCTAAACCCCCTGAACTCCCTAAACACTAGACCCCTAAACCCCTAAACCCTAAACTCCATTGGCAAGTCCAGGTACCTAATATAACCCTGAGCCCCTTAACCGTAAACCCCTAAACCCTAAACCCCTAAACCCCTAAACCCTAAACCCCTGGACCCCTAAACTCCTAAACTCTAAACCCCCTAAACCCTACAGAAACCCCTTGGCAGGTCCAGGAGCAAGTTTCGGCATCTGACTCCTCCAGGAAGAAGTGCGGGATCGCTCCCGGACCGTCCTGCAACTCGAAAGTTTGACCGGGGTTTCCTTTATTTAAACGAATTCTAGGGGCTCCTTTAATCAAAGGGTAAACGGAGGAACCCTTAATAAGGACCCCTAGGTATAGAACCTGAATATAGCTATTGTATACCCGTTATATGGTCCACTATAGGGTAGGGGTCCCCGTTAAGGGTCCCTCCTTTTGCCCTTGGATTTAAGGGACCTACAATTCTACAATAGGGTTTAGGATTTAGGGGTAAGGGCTTTGGGGTCTTAGGGGTTTAGGGTTTAGGGTCTAGGGCTGTGGGTTTCGAGTTTAAGGGTTAGGGATTTAGGTTCTCAGGGGTTTCAGGGTTTAGGGTCCAGGGGTATGGTTTTAGGGTTTAGAGGTTTGTAGGGTTAAGGAATTCAGAGAGCCTCAAAGTTAGGTTAGAACTTGAACAGGGTTCCGCTAAGGGGTTCCGTCAAAAGTGCTCTTTCAGGGGTCTAATAATGACTGAGATAGGGCCCCAATGATTCGATAGAGTTTCGGGCATATGATCATGGGGACCCTTAGGGGGGTAAGGGACTATACTTCCTTAATTTGGCCTGATTTAGTCCTGATTTAAGGCCCCCTACCCCCTCCCCCCTAAGGGTCCCTATGATATGGTTCCAGAATAAAGTTTGTTTGAACAAAACCTGAAGGACGGTTGAGGGTTTAGGGGTTTAAGGCGTGAGAGGTTTAGGGTTTAGGGAAATGTTCCGACCCCTAAAATTTAAAATGACCAAATGGTAGGCTTGGGCCCGATAGTAATAGAGCTCTAGGATTCTTGCGGGGCTTTCGGGTGCGTGTCGGGCCGCACAGGTTTCGAAAAAGGGTTTTATGCAGGTTCGGTGAGGCGTCTGTTACGTTTGCAGGTATCGAAGTTATCAATGTAATAGGCTTTCAGAATTGTAAACAGGACGGTTGTTCCGCTTGTAATTGAACAAGCGTGCCCCCCTGGTTGCGTTCTTGTTTCAGACTTTCTGGGCTTGATGCCAGAGATAACGCCCTCCCAAAATCCAGATTCAAATCCCTGACTCTTCTACCATCCGACTCTGTCGCACATCAATAATAGAACATCAATTCCTACGTCCTAACCCTAATCCGCTACACCCTGGACCCCGAAACCCTTGGCCCAAACCCCTACACTCCTAAATCCCCATGCCGCAGACCCATTGAGGCCTTGCACTTGGCGCCAGCAGCCCCCAACGGAACGCCGTGCTGTGGCGACGCACAGGTCATTGACCCATGGGCTTCTGAGGCTTCTAATGGATCCCAGGGGGCTCCTAAGGGTTTTTTCATTCGGGCCCCTGAGGTGTTTAGGGGTTCAGGTCAAAGGGTTTGGGGGTGTTGGGTTTTAGGTCTGGTGGGTCACAGTTGAAATGGTTGTTGGAGTTCGTCGAGTTTCCTGGAACGATAAGGCGCAGTGATTTTAGCGCATGGTCACTGGAAACAGGGCTTGCGAGCTCAGGGCCTAGCCCTTGTGTCTTTCTTGGGGGATTGGCTCTTGCCTTCGTTCCGCGGCATGTGTCTTTGGTGCGAAGCAACCCTCTCAACCTTAACCCCGTCTTCCACACCTCACAAGCATCTCACTCAGACGCATGCACACCTCAACAATTTAACACTCCATTTAAACCAACCGCAACTGCATATGTAACCTCCATCCCAAACTCGATAGCTAAACCTTAAGCCCCAAACCCAAACCCCCGTTTTGGCAGGATGCACTTTCCTGCCTCCCCCAGTATCTGATCTTTGAACCATTAGACGGCCGACGGTTGAAGGGGTTAAGGTCTCCTGTGATTAGGAGAAAGTCCAAAAACGGCTTAGCTTTCACGGTTCAGGGTGTAGGGTTTCAGGGTTTAGGGTTGCGAAAATTCCATGTCTAATTCACTGGCTTTGGAGCTGATAAGAAGTGGGCAGCCTTGAAACCTGCGCAAACGAAAGTCAACAAAAGAGCTAAACCAAACCTACTTTTTTAAAGGACTTATAAGGAAATCATATTAGGGAACCCGAAAAAGGAAGGTTTTGTAGGATCCAGGTAGGCCCTAAACCCAAGCTTGCCCTGGATATGCGGGCCTGGGGCCCTATCCTAAACCCTAAACCCTAAACCTTAAACCCTAAACCTTGAACCGTCTATAGGGGAAAGTACGAGCTACGGCTTCGGCCCCTATCGTCGCAGGGTGTTCCAGATTCCCGAAGGGTTCAAAGTACCTATATAGTAGAACGTAGGGTTTCTATATTCGGAATGACTATATTACTCTGGAGTACCCCAACCACGGGAAAGGGGGTGTCTGCATATGTATGTACATACATATGTGCATACATACACAAATACATACATATATACCATGTTTACCATACCATACCACACCATATAATACATACCATACCATACCAAACAAACAAATATGCATACGTGCATATATATATATGTATACAGATAGTGAAAAATGTGAAAAAGAGAGAGAGAGAGAGAGAGAGAGAGAGAGAGAGAGAGAGAGAGAGAGAGAGAGAGAGAGAGAGAGAGAGAGAGAGAGAGAGAGAGAGAGAGAGAGAGAGAGACAGAGAGAGACAGAGAGAGAGAGAGAGAGACAGAGAGAGAGAGAGAGAGAGATCCCTAAACCCAAAGCACCCAAAGCCCAAGCCACTCGGCTGACAAAGAGCTCCGAGGCCAGGGCTCGATCGTCCAATCCAAAAGCGGCTCCCGAATGAAGATGTGGCACCTTGTTTTTGCTGTGTTGAACTTTTAAGGTTTAGGGCTGTTGTGTATGAGGGTTTGGGGTTCAGGAATCTTAAGTGTGGATCGGAGATAGGGTTTTGGGGAAAGGCATGCTAACAGGTTTGCGGGGGGCTATCAGGGAACGTCATGACCTTCCGCATCTGGGTGCTCGTTTGGGATAAAGTACAGGGAACCTCTACAATCAGTCCTGTCAAAAGCCCAATGACACCCGTTCACAGTTGTCTGAAAACTTGCAGCCCTTTCTCTAACACGAGTTATAAGGCATGTCAAGAATCCCTAATTGTGGGACACAGTTGAACATCGACAGCTTAGGGTGCAAGGCTTTGGATTGAGAGCTTCGACTTTGGGATGGGGTTTAGCTCAATGGAAGGGTTTTGGAACTTCCAAATGCAGGCTGCTTCCATTGCTTGCAATGCAAGGCTTCTGAATGGCATCCTGCTTTGAGCCGGAACACAAAACACACAACCCGTAAAATCTTGTTGAGCCATCCTTTGCCCATTATACACCCAGATGATCATGACCTTCCCATTGTTCCGGAGTCCTTCGAGTGCCAAGGAACGCATCCAGCACCACACCCGACCGTGAACGGCAGCTTCTCAACACCTGTCGCAGGCAAAAGACTAGCTGAACGACGGCATCTAACTTCATCTACCAGAACTGACTTTCTTACAAGTACTTTGAAGTCAACCGGCGGTGTATTACTATGCTAGCTGAATGTTCGGATGTCTGTGGCATGGTGATTCGAGAACTTCGGTCTGGGCCAGGGTTTCTAAAAGTGATGGTTTAGGGGGCAGCACAACTGTGCTAGTTATGGTGAGAAGGCTTGAATGCTGGGAGAGCAATATATTGGAGGATTCGGCGGGAACCCTGAGTGCCACCCTTGGCACACCAACCAAAGTTCAGGCCAGCAGGGCCGCATGACCAGATACCCACACATTCCACCAAATACTAGACATTCTCGTTTGAAGGTCCAGGGTTGTTACAATTATCTTGAACCCAAGTACCAAATTATTTGGGGGTCCCCTGACCCGCGCAAAACCGCAAAATCAAGATTCTAGGCCCTTATATGATGTGAGTCTTGGATAAACCCTCAGAAAGCCCTTGCAGACCCTCATGAACCCTTTTCTACGCACTTTGATATTGGGTCCATTGGATGGATTCAACCCCCAGGCACCTCTTCCGGCTAGACTGCCCCTCAACTTCGCAAAACCTACACAGGTAATGTAGGGCCTTAGTAAATTGAACAGGGTTTCGGGCTCCTTGATGATGTAGTTGCAATAAGGAGCCCTGCGGAATATTCTATTTAGGCTTCCGTATCAGCTCAACGCCTTCCTATGCATGTGCTGTATTACACGAGTGTCTCGTTATAGTAAACTGCATAATGCATGATGATGCAAACTGGTCTAAAGAGATAGCTAAGCAGCCTCACACTATCAAACTGTCGAGCCCTCGTAACATCCTTGCGCCCAATTTGATATAAGCCCTGGCAGAAAACCGTAAAAACAAGGGTCGTGGTATGATGCCTTCAAGAACCCTCATAGACATTTTATACTATCGTTATAGACACACCACCATTCTCCGAACCCCATAAATGCAAACCCTACACCCTAAACCATGAAAACTTTAAACTCTGACCCCAGTCCCTCAAAATATACTCCGAACCCCAAACTCTAAACCCTTCGTTTCGACGTGCCTCCTCCAAGCTATCTCGGAAGGTTCCGTGCCTTTCGCCCAAACGCGGGGCTGGTTGGAGGCTCAATTAAAAAGCTCAGGGTCCAGGGCTCAGGGAACAAAGAGTTCTTACAGGGTTCCACCGGGCATTCCGCATGTAGGCCTGCCTCGAGGGTTCGTTTAGGGCATGGGGCTCGAAGTGCTTAGTACCAGAGGGCTTTAGTGTTCAACCGGTTAGTTTTGAGATGTTTTAAGAGTTGTGGGGTTTAGGCTCGAAGCGGCTCTCCGGACACGAGCTCATGTTCTTGCAAAGTCACATGCGACACGTGCACTGGGGTTATACACTGCCCAAACCATGCTGATATGCCCATGCGAGCTCTTGCAATTGCAAGAGGCCTCTCAAGACCATCGCAAAGGCAGGAGGCACACAGATAAGTTGCTTCAGGTGCTTTTTCCCCTCATGATAATGCTTCATGCCCTGCACCGTGTCTCCTCAGCACTTCTTGCCGCCCTTGAAAGGAACCCTTACAGGAACCCCTATAGAATCCTTGATGAAGGAACCCCTATAGAACCCTTAAAGGAACCCCTGTAGATCCCTTAGAAACCCATAAAGAAACCTAAAAAGGAACCCATATAGAACCCTTCAAGGAAGCCCTGTAGATCCCTTAGAAACCCCTATAGAACCGTTAAAGAGGAACCCCTTAGAACCCGGAAAGGAACCCCTATAGAACCTTAAAGGAACCCCTGTAGTTCCCTTAAAGGAGCTCGTAGGCTCTCCATAGAAACCTTCTAAAAGTCCCCTGGGCTCCCCGGCGCCCGAGGCCCTGCAAGAGGCTGAAGAGCGCTCAAGAGGAAGCTGGTGAGTCCTTGGAGTTTAGGGGTTAAAGGGTCTAGGGCTTAGGGGTTTGGGGTTGAGGGTCTATAGGGGTTTGGTGGTTAAGGGGTTTAGGGATTTAGGGGTTTAGGGATGTATCGTTTTTGTATGGTATATAGGGCTTATGGGGTTTAGGATATCGTTTAATGGGGTTTACCCATAGTCTCCATTGTAGTTCCTTTCTTTTGTGTACCCAGCTGTGTATTTAGGATCCTACAGGGTACCTCCCAAAAGGAACTACAATGGAGACTATAGGTAGTTCCTATAGTTAGGGCTCTGTAAGGCTTAGAGTTTGGGTTCCTTTCAGGGGTTCCAAGCAACGTAGGGTTGAGTTCCCCAGTTCTCCTCCCTGAAACTTTCGGGAGTGAAAAGCAAAGGGGCCACATGACGTGTTTTGGGCGCTTGCTTGGCTTTGGCCTGCATGGAAGCACCGACGAGGCTGCGTAGCAGCGAACTTTTTGGAAACACATTTGACACATCTCCCGGTCTACGTGCGGGTGGCCTCGAAACATAAATTGCATTGGGACACGGCCGTGGTCGTCTAAGGCTCACATCTTCGAACATATACCCTGGATTTGTGTTGCGCATTGTGCGTGCTTGCGGTTGTGGAAACTGCTAAGGGGGCAGGATTGTACCCAACCCATACTCGAAAACACTTAAAAATCCCTACACCCTGCACGTCTTCCCCCCGTTCTCTGGGAAGCCGGGCTAAAAGGCATAAGCTCTGGGACGGGGAGGAGGCTGCCGATCCCGAAGGAGTAGCCGAAGTCGATGGGCACGATCTGAGGGCTCTGACTGATTTCGGAGTTGTAGAGTGTTGAGGGTTTTATGGTTGTTGTATGTTTCTGTTCATGAGCCTCTTATAGGGTGTATCTGGCGATATATTCGGAGCTTAAAATAAGGCTTTGTTATGCTATCGTCTCTTCTGTTGCATTGTTATGGACCCTGTCAAGTCGCATGTATGTCGGGGGAAGTTTGTGAACTTAAGATTTAGGGCATTATGGAATTATAGGGTTCATGATTGAATGGAACTTAATTAGCTTTGGGCCTCTAGGGTTGAGGATTTCAGCGATTTGTGAGTAAGCGCAGGTTTGTGGAGCCTTAACGGCTGTACTCCTACCTACACTACGCGGACCCTTGGACCTTCTAAGGAACCCCTATAGATCTCTTCAAGCAGTAAAGGAACACTTGAAGGAGCCTTAAAAGAACGCTTGGGGCGGGCCCGTAAAGGAAGCCTTAGGGGAAGTGTCTCAGGCCCTAGTCCCGTCAGTCTGCCCTGGGCGGCCTCTCCAGTGCGCTGGCACAGCAAGTAGTTGTCCAAATGCCTGCAACATCGGGTTCCGGGTTCTTTTGCTATGGCCGCGCGCGCCTGTCTGAGCGCTTTGGCGCTAGCCCGAAAAGGGTTCTCGCATGGGATTCTATCCTTGAATGCGGAGCCGAAGACCACTGAATGTGTTATTTCTGTTCTGGGTTGTGTGAAGACTTCTCTCATCATGTTGAATTGGAGCTTATGCAGCGTTTCACTCGGGAGGCGGGGCCTGTTGGCTTTGTTCCACAGGCTTTGTTCCACACTTCCTGGTTGGTAACCCTAGAGTAGTAGGATGCCTTAATGCCAACGATCCTTCGCAAGAGTCTGGAATAAGACCCGTCTACTCTCCTAAGGAGCAGTGTGGTCAGGGTGAGAACATCCAGTCCACATGTTAGAATAGGGACGAACGAGCTTTGGAATATATGCAGCTTAGCTTTTGGCTGAGGAAGCTGTTCCATACAAGACGTATTTTTTTATAGTAGACCACATTTTTGCTTAAAGGGTTCCTCAACGGGGCGTTTCCTTCCAAGTTATTATAGAACCTAGATACTTCACTTGCGGACTTACCGGGACTGCTGCTGGGTCTGAGAATTGGAGCTTAGGTTCTGGTCTTGCGGGATAGAAGGAACTCAGTCTTGACAGTGTTGAAGTGCATACCGCATTCCGCCCCGTGGTGTTCCAAGGCGGTTATAGAATTGATTGAAGCTGCGGTATGGTCCGGGCCAGGAGCAAAGTGTCGTCTGCGTATTCCAGGTCACATACCGGGTATCCCTCTGACCACGTGTCAGTGGGGACTCCCTGGGATTTAAAGGTGTCTAGGATACCCAGTAACCTAAGAATAAAAAGGCCTCTCTTTTTGGTACTGGGTAACTTTATAAGGAACCTAGGACTACAAAAAGGGAATAAGGGTACTATTGGGCATCCTAGTTGTCCATGTCATGGAGGATGACCGAGAGAACGGTAATGAAAAGGTATGGGCTGAGCAGCCTTGTCTGATACCTGAATCCAGGGGTAAAAGGAGGGACCCTTAATAAGGACCCCTAGGTATATACCCTTAATGTAGCTATTATATACCCATTATATAGCCCATTATAAGGTAGGGGTCCCCATTAAGGGTCCCTCCTTTTCCCCTTTGACTGAAGATACTTTGCCAGTGGCGGTTTGGTCGTTGGGGCCTAGCGTGGTAAATTCGGGTTGGGATTCGGGTTTAGGGTTTCTGGTTTTGGATGGTTTTGGGCAGGTCATTGTCCAAATGCCTGCAAGCATGGGTTTCGGGTATAGGGTTTGGGCAAATAGTTGTCCAAATGGCTGCAAGAACCTGACATAGGGGCCTTGACAGCTAGAATAGGGTCTTGGGACAAACTCATCAGGACCTTCGGGGAAATGCCGGTACTACTTTTTTCCGAGCTCTATAGTACACCGTCGGCTGGAAATCCTAAATCCTAAAACCGAAACCTTCTGCCTTGCGCCATCACCGTGACCTGACGACGACGACTAAGGCTAGTCCTGCCTTGGTACCTGCCAAGCTATGGTAAGATTTAGGGTTTCGGGTTTAGGGTGGCCCAAATCTGAAACTCTATCGAAACCAACGGACGAGCTATCAGAGACTTTAGACCCTTGTGGTAAACAGGTAGATCTTGCGGCATATCTCCCATTTCCAGGGAGTAAGACCCTCAACGCTAAACCCTAAACCCTAAATCCTAAACCCTGAACCCTAAACCCTAAACCTTCAACCCTAAACCTAACCACACAAACTCCCGAAGTCTCAAACACCTCGACCTCTCGAAGCCCTCATCCCTCAACCCAGAAGCCCCCAAATCCCGAACCCCCCCCCCAATCCCCGACACAGCTGCGAGAACTATTTCCGATCGCACCGATCCTTACCGAATCTTTGCGAAACCTCTTAAGGCCCTTTGTGAAGTGCATCAAAAACCCCTGTTCTCTATGTCACTAGCCATCGCCCCTACAGCCTGAACCCCACAAACACTCATGAGACCTCAACCCCCAAAGTCCCTAAACCCTCACGACCTCTAATCCCTAAACCCTAAAGCCCTAAACCCCTAAGACCTAAACCTTATAGGGGCCTTTCAGGGAACCCTTTAAGGAACCCCCTGATATAGCCCTCAAGAATCGCTAAAGCCAAAGACAAGAGCCTATCACCGATCCCTAATCCCCTATCCTAAATCCAAAAACCCTAGACCCTCAAACCCTGAAACCGCTAAAACCTAGAACCCTTCAAGGAGCCTATCACCGATCCCTTGAACCCTAAACCCACCCTAAACCCCTGACCCGTACACCCTAGAACCCTCTAAGGAGCCTATCACCGATCCCCAGGAGGTAGCAAGCCGCGCTGGCAGCCGCCAAAGAGGCCGCGAAGCGCTGTCGGAGATGCCAGAAGGCCTCGCATAGGCTCCTTAAAGGGATGCTTTAAAGGGGTTAGGGTTTAAGGTAAACGCCAGAAAATTGGAATATGATTATCCTAAACCCTTATTGGTAAATTATAAGGTATCCTACCCTGAAACCATATTCCAACTTTCTGGAGTTCCCTGTAGGGGTTTAGGGTTCAAGGGATCGGTGATAGGCTCCTTTTTAAGACTTCAGGGGTTCTTAAGGTGCTACATAAGGGGGTTCCTCAAAGGGTTCCTGAAAGGGTTCTATAGGGTTTTGGTTTTCGGGATTTGATTTAGGGTTTAAGGCTTAGGGGGCTGGTGCTGAGGCTTATGTAGGGCTTAGTGTCCATTATTAGCCCTTCTCATCTTTTCAGCCTTAACCTCCCCAAACGCCGTAACCCTTTAACCCCAAACCCTGTAACTCTTAACAAGAGCTTAGGGATTCGGCTTGCTGCTTTACAAATGTTAGACCTTCTCCGGTTTTGGGCACCTCCTGTGGGATCACTCCTCTGAACCCGAAGGATCCATGTACTCATACCTTAAGCATACACTGCTGCATTAAGGTAGGCCCTCTATGTAGGTGGGCACTGGGAACCTGATGCCGTGAACCCTGAACATATAAGGAATCCTTGCAGAACCCTGAAAAGGAACCCGTCAAAGGAACACTTAAGGGCACACGGATCTGCAGGGATAAAGTGCAGGGGAACCCCAAGCAACGGTTGCGTTCACAAAGGCAGTGGGAAGCCTCCGCTCCAATCGCGCTGCTCCAAAAATAAGCCTTCCAGGAGTCGTCTGGTTCCCCCTAAACTAGGAACCCCCAAAAGCACATAAGCATAAGCATTTTATAGGGATATCCCTACCTTATTGGGCTTCATTATACGTGGATTTATATGGGATATCCCTATCCCTATGTTTGCTTATGTGCTTTTTTGGGGTCCTATAAACCCCTAACCCCTAACCCTGAATCTGGAGTGCGCAAGACGACTTGCCTTCCCCACAGGGTCCTTTGTACTGTCATGGGGGATACTCCCCTAAGTCATAATAGTAATTCCTAATATGGAAACCCTACTTTATACTGTATCGGTACATAGGACCCTTTGATTTCTTAGGTTCAGGGTTGAAGAGCAAAGGGCTTACAATTTCAAGCTCCGGAGTGGAGAGTGTGAGGCTTTCGTTCCCAAAAGCGGCTTAGGGTATGGAGTTCAGGGGGTGTGTTTGGATTGAGGGGAGTTTAGGGCTTAGAACTTAGAATCACCTGAATGGTTTTGGCACCTGGAACCCGGCTATCTTGGCATTTGCGTCCTCAGGGAGTTGTCTTCTTGCCTTGTTTAGCTTGACATCCGGTGCGCACTCACAGCTAGGTTTCATATGTAAATCCTAAGCCCTAGTTGGGCCTGGAAACCCCTGAGACATCAACTATAAAAATAGTAAGTACTTTCCTACAAATGGTACCTACTTTGGGCTATGTGGAGCCCTAGAGGGAGCCCTAAAAACAACAGAGTCCAGCGATCGCTCGGACCTTAACCCAGAGGGCCCATATATACCACCATCATGAAATTAGGTCCCAAACGACCATCCCCAGTATGGCTTTTGGGACCTAGTCTTCATAATAGTAGTGGACATGGACCCTCGCGGTAGATCCCCAAGCTCCGGAAATACGGCGCTCGTGACAGTGAAAATTGAAAATCGGCATAATATTCCCTAAGACTCCAAATATACAAATCGTACCTACTTTGGGGTCTGAAGTTTGAGAATAATGCCAACTCTAAGCCATCTGGAGTCTTGGGGGCAGAATCGATGATAAATGGAACAGCGTTTTGGGGTATAGCGAGTATAGTGTTGCAGATACATGTAGTGGCTATATGGGGGATGAGATGACTAGTAACTCACACCGTTTTGTTGCCTAGGGTTTCTCTGAGACCAAGATCGGAAACCCTTGTAAGCCTTAAAACCTAAATTCCTGAACCGTAAAACCCTGGACACCTTTTATCCTAAAGCCATGCTGAAGCCGTACTGTAGGGGCCTAGATACTTACCAATACTATTTTGGGGTTCCTTATTATCGTAGAATGGCCCACAAACCCTATTCTAATTATTAAGGCCCCTACATTTAAACCCTGAGCTGAAGAACACAAGCTAATTCCATAAGATAGGGGCCTGACTACTTAGAATAGGGCTTTGGGGGCCCATTATACTATGACTATCATAAGGAACTCCCCCAAAAAATAGTATAGGTAATCATTTAGGGCTGAACCCTGGAACCCTGGATACCCGAAAACCCCCTAAATAATTGACCCTTACACTCTTGCCAAGTTCGTACATAAAGCTTAAACCCAAAACCGCTGAACCCTAAACCTATTCCCCTACACCCCGAAACCATAACTCTAAACCCTCACCCAAAACCCTAAAACCCTAAACCCTAACCCCTAAACCCTAAACCCTAACCCCTAAACCCCCAAACCCTAAACCTTAAACCCCCAAACCCCTAAACCTAAACCCACTGTGGGTAGATCCAAAATGGCCTGGCCTTGAGAGAGGCGGGGGTGGGCATCGCCGCCACACAGCGACCGAACCTGGGAATGCAGGGGCCGGTTTAGGGGTTTAGGGTTTGGGATTCAAGGATTTAGGACTTGGGGCTAAGCTTAAGGGATACCGATCCTGGGAACGTAGGGGCCGATTTCGGGGTTTAGGGTTTAGGGATTCAGGGGTTTAGGGGTTTAGGGTTTAGGGATTCAGGGATTTAGGATTTGGGGCCAGGGCTAAGGGATTCAGGAATGTAGAAGGTAACTTCATTCATGAAGTCCTGACGAATAATAATATTCTTGCTAACTATTCAGGCAGCTGCATCCAGTTGAATGGGCGATGTATAGTGTTTGGGGCATAGGGTTCATGGCTTCCGGTTTAGGACTTGGGGTTTACAGTTCGGGCTCAGGGCTTGTAGGGTTTAGAGCTTACCTCAACCCTGAAAAAACTACATTTTCGCGGAGGTCGGTGAGCACGTGGTGTACGGTGGCAACGTGCTCCACTCCCCCATCTGCAGTTGGAGGCATCGGCACGGCGTTTTCTGCCACATTGCTTTTGCTGGCTACCCACTCCTTCTCCAGCGAGTTTATATCTACTCCACTGAAAATCGCATCAAAGGCTGCGTCGTTCGGCATTTAGGTCATGTCCAAGTCTTCAGGGACGTCCCCCGCCTGCTCGTCATTAAGTAACAGGTGTTCGAAAAGCTCCGGCGGCGTGTTCCATGGCTCATCGTGAGTGGGGGCCCCCCAGTCTGGGGAGTCCTCTGCCTTGTAGGTAGACTGGTGCTCGAGGAAGCTTGGGCCGCGTCCGTCTTCTGTGTCGACTCATCTCCTCCATGCAGGGCACTCGGTAGGGGTTCCTTTCAGATGATTTCCTGATAAAGCTCCTTCAAGACGACTGCATATGAGAAGTTCGGCCCCCAATGAAAATTCACATCGGAGACCACAAATGATTGCCCGAAATAAGGCCTCCTTCAAAGACTTAAAGTAGGATTTTGGGGCTTCCTTTTGGATGATAGAAGCTCCTTGAACCCTAAACCCTAAACTTCCTAAACCCTAAGTAGGCTTTTAAGGGCGTGAGGCGGTGAGGAATTGGAATTGTGCTTCCTGGAATGCGGAGACCAGGATCCCCAAAAAATCTTAGGCTCCTAAACCCTTCAAGGTAAGCCATGGTACCCTTAAAGGGAACCGTTTAGGGTTTAGGGCTAAGGGCTCCTTAAAGGTAACCCTTAAAACAAAAAAACACCATAGTACCCTTATGGTAGAAGCCGACAAGTTTGAGATCAATGTTGATGATGCCCAGCAGCACCCTAGGTCAATATACGACCACGATGTTCAGAACTTGCACAGCGCTTCTCTCACCGCGAGAGCCAGCCACGGCACGGCAGGTGTCAGAGACTGCACGCTCTTCAACGGAACCTGCACTGTGCCCTCATTCATCATAAGGACCTTGAGAAGGGTAGGTGGGAGTAGGGGGCCTTAATACCTATAATCAGGACTTAATAAGGCCCATTTAAGGAAGTGTAGTCCCACACCCGCCTCCCCATTACCCCCCTACGGGTCCCTATCCCTAAGGCTCCATGTGCCCATATAGTATATACTTAGGCCTTAAAGTACCTATCTAGGGAGCCCTTTAAGGCTTAAGTATCTACTATAAAGGTCCATGGAGCCTTTGGGTATGAATTCAGGACCTGCATATCACGTTGCCACCGCCATGGTCAGGTTCAACTGCTTTTCGCCACAAGTTGCAAGTCGACACACTCCATCTCTGCAGACAAGAACAAACCCAAAAGGTCCTAGGCACTGTTATGGGGGGATACTTCCTTAAATCAAAATAGTAATTACTTATATAGAAAGCCTACCTTCTACTATACAAGTACATGGACCCGTTGGGAAACTCCAGCAGCATCTGTCCCCAAGGGTCCAAGTACCGACCTAATAGTCATTCTACCAAAATGAACAATAGTACGAAGAAAGACACAACAACAGGAGTGATAGCCGTCTCAGCTATACATCAAATTGGCATGGTTATGCTAGCATGCCATCAAACATGTACTACAACCTTTCGCGTGCCCTGGCACGTCTCTGATCTCTGTGGCGCATTCTCACGCGCAAACAAGACTGCGTGTTGTCTATGCCAATAAATGCAAATTTAGCCACACGTGTATGTCTTATGTATACACTTACACGTGCATGGCTCTAAGCCTCAAAACCTAAGGCCCGAGCACACGACCCTAGACCGCAAAAGGGCAGAGCCCGGAAACATCCGGCTACCCTCCCTAAGGCTCCATGTACCCGTATAGTATATACTTAGGCCTTAAAGTACCTATATAGGGACCCCTTTAAGGCTTAAGTATCTACTATTTGGGTACCATAGACCCTTATATAATTATACCCTAAACCCAATAGAACCCTTTAAACCCCTTTAAGGCCCAAGTAATTATCTAACATGAAGGTACATGAAGCCTTTGGGCCTCTAAGATTGGGGCGCTACCAAGATGTCGGCCCTCGGTACCTGCACGAAGATTTGCTTCAGGGATTAGGGTTTAGGGTTTAGGGTTTAATTAGGAGTGAAGGGCTTGCGCTAAATCCAAAACCGAACTTTCGGATCAATTGCGGCTGAAACCCAAACAGAAGAATGCCGCATGCAAGGCGTGCTGTAAAGTTCTGCAGGGTTCTAGAGCTCTACAGGCAGCTTAGAGGGTCGTACAAGATCGTACACGTGCTCTACATGGCTAGTTCTCTAAAGTACCCTATACATCAGCCACAGAGAAAACCGGGATTCACATGGTATTTTCCAGCGAAATGCGACCTATTGGTATTTTCCTGCGAATCCACATGCTTGAACATGCCTCCAAAAACCCGACGAAGAACCCAGCGGAATCCATTGCAAAAACCCAGCGAAACCCATTAGAGAAACCCAGCGAAAAAACGGCAGCAAACCTGTGAAAACCTGTGAAGACCTGTGAAGACCTGTGAAAACCTGTGAAAACCTGTGAAGACCTGTGACGACCTGTGAAAACCTGTGAAGACCTGTGAAGACCTGTGAAAACCTGTGAAGACCTGTGAAAACCTATGAAAACTTGTGAAAACCTGTGAAAACCTGTGAAGACCTGTGAAGACCTGTGAAGACCTGTGAAAACCTGTGAAGACCTGTGAAGACTTGTGAAAACCTGTGAAAACGTGTGAAAACGTGTCAAAACCTGTGAATGGGACTTTCGCGAAAACCCGGCGAAGAGCGATTGAAAACCCAGCGAAGAGCATTGTCAAAACCCAGCGAAAGCCACATTGAAAACCCAGCGAGGAACCCATAGGCCTGGATGGCATGAAGCATGGGAATCGATGGAAACTTTCCAGCGCAATGGATATTTCCCAGCGGGGCAGATTCCCATGGTATTACCCAGCGAAAGAGCTATGTTTTTCCAGCGGGCGATGGTTAGGGTAGGGACCTAAACGCGGACTGGACCCTCCATCGACCCTCTATTAGACCCTAAATGCCCCTGATTTGGGACCATATACCCCTGTTTGAGGGTACAAGGAGGGTCCTGGTACCCGCATGGTCTTTATGTTTCTGCTGGAGGTTCAGACACTAGACCCAAGAGTAACCTAGGAATAAAAAGGGTGCCCTTTTTAGTTTAAAGGGGGTTATAAGGGAACCTAACCCCCAAAAAAGGGAATAAGGGCCTACTCCGGGCATTGTGGAAATAGTTAAATGGGGGGTTGCCGAAAATAGGGGACCCTAAGCCTAATATGGTACCCTAAAGGGTAGGATCCTTACTGATAAGGGACCTCAAAACATGGGACCCCTAATTTTCGGAAACTCCCAAATACCAAAAAGCCACGCTACACCCGAAGAAGCACTACGAATACCTATAAAGCTCCCGCCAAGTCTCAGACCTGTAGAAACTAGGAGAAAGCAGTCCCTTCGAACCTCTAAACAACCAGCCCCTGAAAACCAAACCAACAGAAATGGAAACAGCTAAATCTCAAGCCTTGCACCCTAAACCCTGCCCTAATAAGGGTCCTAACAAATTGGGGAACCTCAAAATTGAGGGTTTCTGCGACCCCAAAGAGACGCAAGGACTCTCCCTAGGAGGTTCCGGACCCTCCCAAGGAGATACCTGGACCCTTAAGGAAACCCAAAACCCAAAACCCTGAACCCAAAACCCTAAACCCTGAACCCTAAACCCTAAACCCTGAACCCAAAAAAGCCTCAAAGATCTTCGGGTACCGGTGGAGCGGATTTTGCCCGAAGCGCTTCGTCCTCTGCGAACTTGACCAAACCACACAGGGCTTTTGGGCTTTAGGGTTTAGGTTGGGTATGGGCCCCATACAGTAACAGTCGATAATAGGGCTATTATGAAGGGCCTTATATATCTATATTATGAATATTATCCAACTGTTACTGAGTGGGGGCCGTACCCAAGGTTTAGGTCTTAGGGGCTTAGGCGTGTATGTCTTTAGGGTATATAGGGGTTTGGGGTTTGTAAAGATTACGGCTAAAGGTTTAGCAAGGCTTGAGGGCGTAAGGGCATTTGGGCTTTTGCTCTGAATGGCTTGTGGTACGGAAGATCCTGCTATTGGTTGAACCTTCAGGCTTGGTAGACCCTATAAGTAAAACCCCTGAACCCACCTCACCCACACTTCCCGAAATCAAACACAAGCCTTCCCTGCCGCAGATCCTGAATCCTAAACCCTACTTGCTGGTAGCATAGTAAGTGGGGCTCCCCAAATCATCACTCCATGGATCACCCTCCGCGGAAGTCCCGAGCCCCTTCGGTAAGACCTATCCTGAAAACCGGTCCTTTGACCCTAAACCTCAAATTCGAAGATGGTAACCAACAAGCCCGAAACCTGGACCCTGACTCATCCACCTACGGGTCTAAGCATTCTATATATATATATATATATATATCCCCCCCCGGAGAGTACTAATAACCAATACTATTGCAAACCCGAGTACCCATTTCTTGGATCCCTTGGCATATTAACAGCATCCCCAGAGTCCCCAGAGGGTTCATATGTACTACCATTATGGAATGGGGTCCCAAAAGACCATCCCCATTATGGCTTTGGGGACCTAACTACACACTGGTACTGTACATGGACCCTTATTCCCTAAACCCTAAACCCTGAAAGAACCCTTGTACTACCCTTCTAGTACCCTTGTACTACCCTTATAATACCCGGCTTATAGACAATCTTCGACTCCTAACTCCCAACCTCGGATCTAAGCCCTAAGCCGCCTAGGCTCTGTTAGGCTCTGTTGAAATCAAGACCCTGAAGCGGGTCACCTTGGGCGACCGCAGGCAGCTCAAGCGGAGTTCCCTCACTTGCGCCAACGAGGGCCGGGAGTGACGGGAACAAAAGATACAGAGGAACTGGGCACCGGGCACTGTTTTTAAGCACTGGTCACGAGTGCGGCCACTGCGCGCCCCACCCAATCGATACAAGCAGGTGCATGATCCGGACTTGCTTCCAGTATGGTGGGCCACGGCAGCGGAGGGGGACCCACCTTTCGAAAATGCAGTCCGAGAATCCACGCGGACACGCCTTGGTGGCGTGTTTGTGCGCCGTCGCAGCCACATATACTCCGCCATCCTCAGGAGTACTAAACTCCGTTCTCGAATATCCAAGCCCCTCAACCCTAGGCTTGTAAAGACCCTAAAACTGCACGCCTCTAAACTCTAACCCTAAGGCTCTAAGGACCCACATCTTAAGTATCTTAAGGCTTTTGGACCCAAAGACCATACTAGAAAAGGCTTTCGGGCTATTTTGATGCCCAGGGTAAACCCTAAATCCCAGGTCCTACAACCGCAAACCCTTACCATCGATGCCGTGATAATCAGAACAGGGGTTAGGGTTAAGGGGTTAGGGAAACAATGCTATAACTATGGTAGCCCTGAGACTCCAAGTAGACAAAAGCTATACACCCCCCCCCCCCCGACTGTAAGATCTAGGTCTTTTTCAGAAGCAGCACCTACTTTAGGCCATCTGGACTCCTCTTGGGGTAAGGATGCTACTCAGGTTTAGGGTTTAATGGGATGATTCAGGACCCGAAGCCTAAACCCCTAAACCCGAAACCCCTAAACCCTAAACTTTAAACCCTAAACCCCAAACCCCTAAACCCTAAACCCTAGACCCCAAACCCCTAAACCCTAAACCCTCAACCCTAAACCTTAATCCCAACCGCGTCAAAACTCTGAACCCACCACTTGGGTCACCCGGCCACTCGGTCCGCAGCTTGTGCGACTGCGCGATAGCTTGATGTTGTTTTGTTAATTTTCCCGAAGGGTCCAAGTATCATTCTGGTGTATAGTTTTAAGATATTTTTTGTTGGGGTGGGTCTAACTAAGTATATAGCATAATGATACTTGGACCCTTCGGGTTTGGTGTTTCTCTAAGGGCTTCGTAAGGGGTAAATATCATGAACATTTAGTAAAGGGTTACAACGGGGACTTTCAGGCTTGAGGCTTCGGGCGCTTCAGGGGTCACGGGCGTTTATGGGCTTTAGGAATTGGGATTTCGATGTCCCCAAGTGTCCAAAGGACCCAATAATTAGGTACTCGGTTTAGGATAGTAGTTCTGTAGGTTAGGATTTTCGGGAGTATACGATTATCAGGTACTTGGACCCTTCTAGTTCATGGTTGGGATAGGATTAAAAAATCTATTTTCTATTCCTTACTGGGTTTAAGTACCCATAAAACTGTAAAATGTTACCCAACTATGACAAAGCCTTGGGGTGTAGGAAGACCATGCTGAGCTTGTTCCACGGCATTTCCGAGGCGAACATTCGCCGGTCCGTGAAGTAATATAGGGACCTTAATAATTCGAATAAGGTTGTGGGGCCCATTATACTATAATTATAATGAGGAACCCCCAAAATAGTGTTGGCGATTATTGAGACCCCTATAGTAGTCCAGCATACTCCTTGGTTTGCAAATGGCGGGACCAGTCCGCCCTGTGGGCTCTTAAAAAGACAAGTCCGCGGCAAGGTGGACGTAAACGTCTGTTCTCTCGTTGTGCCGAGTACATTTCGCGAAACCTGGCCTTGCGGATAAAAGGCTTCGATAGACAGACAACACCGAAACCGAGCTTCGGCGTGCGTGAGCGCGGGGAGCCGCGCATCGCCGCCAGCACGCTCGGCGGCGTCTCCACCAGCAGGTGCCACCGAGCATGCGGATTGCCAGGAGCGGGGCCACAGCCAGGAGCGGGTCGTTGATGGACAAAATCCTGCATTACCCATTATACGGAAGATGCCATAATTCCCATAGTTTAGAGTCCTAAGGGTCATGCAGGATCTTGTCCATCAACAGTAGTAGGATCCAGGATGAGCATCAACCTTTTTCCATCTCCCTAGTGGTTCATTTACAGGTCCCTATAAGGGTTACTTGAAGGTTCACGGGACTCAGTAACTAAGGGTTCGCTGGAAGGTTCCTATACATAAAGGACGAATGAACCCTCAAAGGGTTTAAGGCTCATATAGGATATACGGATTCATAGTACAAGGGGAAAGGGCCCCTCACTTAAAGTGGTTCAGTTAAAGTTCCCTAAAAGGGTTATATGCTTCATAAGGGATGAGTGTAGGGCTGCTCAAGGACGACATGTAGCCTACGTAGGAGCGTTTGAGGTTCAACTACGATACAAGGATTCACAGTACAACGGGTATAGGTGGTATAGGGCCCACACTACGACGGGTCACTCCGTAAGTAAGAGTTTGGGTTTGACATCGTAATTATATAAGCATAACCCTAAGTCGGATTGCGACATCACGAGGCTGTGATATGCACCAAATCCCTGCTACACTTTCCACAACCTCCTACAACCCGTTCGTCTTAGCGTAGGGTTTATGGAGTTTAGGGTGGCTTGAAGGCTCAGGCTCAGGATTCGGTTTTAGGGTAGTTTAGGGTTTCTACTTGGAAGGGCAGGGGACTTGGTAAGTAGGTTATAAGTAGGGTTAGAATTGGGGTAACTCTATTTAGGGTACTTATAACTCTACTTATAACCTACTTACTAAGTCCCCTGCCCTTCCAAGTAAGGTCTCCTTCACCCCAAGCCGCCTACCTTCGTATATGGACCCATAACAAGAAAACCCGAACACAGGTAGGGTCTACAGGGTTCAGGTAACCCTTCAAGGAACCCAAAACTATCCCTTAAAACAGACCCTAACAGATCCCTTAAAGGAACCCCTAAACCAAAAGCCCGTCAACCCTGAACTCCAAGAACCCCCGAACCCAGCAAGAAACCCTAAACCCTAAACCCTAAACCGAAGAACCCTAAAGCCTAAACCCTAAACCGAAGAACCCTAAACCCTAAACCGATAAACCCTAAAGCCTAAACCCTAAACCGAAGAACCCTAAACCGAAGAACCCTAAAGCCTAAACCCTAAACCGAAGAAACCTAAACCCTAAACCGAAGAACCCTAAACCCTAAACCGAAGAACCCTAAACCCTAAACCCTAAACCGAAGGACCCTAAACCCTAAACCGAAGGACCCTTTGCAGGAACCCAAAAAGTCCCGAAGGCGCTAGTTGACCTTCTACGGGAGTTGCCGAAAATTGGGGGGTACCTTGTTTTGGGGTCATTATAATAAGGATCCTACTACTTATGGTACTATATTCGGCTCCCCTATTTTCGGAAACTCCCAGACAGAGCCTTAGGGTTTAGCTTTGGGGATGGCTCAACCTCTCACAGACAAGTGTGAACTTCCAATAAGGAGGGGGTTATGGTACTTTTGTGGAACTTCCTGAACCCTATCAATGCTATACTTCCCCTAAGCCCCATGCCCAAATCCTACGAAGCCCTAGAAAACCCTAAACCTGAAAACGGTACAACTGGGGAACCCTACGTCCCCTAGAAACCCTTACACCCAAACCCTGACCTTATTAAGCCGCAGACCCTAAACGCCCCAAACCCTCTAATACTAATACTAATACTAATACTAATACTAGTACTAATTGTAGCCATTGTAGCTATAACTACAGCAAACACTTCAAACCATAAGCCCTAAGCCTAAACCCTAAACGCCCTAAACCTGGAAAGCTTAAGCTCCGGCCTCCACTTCGTTGAAGTCTTTAGCCTTCGCAGTCTCGGTGACGATGGCTTTCAGCGGCTTCCTGTTGGGGCGCGCATACGGCTGATGATATAAATCCTGCATGATCTTAAGGACCCTAAACCTAAGGACCCTAAACTATGGGAACAAAAGGGTATATTCCTTAGTATGGGTAATGCAGGGTTACGCAGGGTTTATATCGTCAACCGTAGGGCTTAGAATTTTGGGCAGGGTTGAGGGCTTTGAGGCTTTACGGTCTGTGGGCGCGTACAGTGTAGGGCTACGGGATTAGAGGGTTTAGGGCGTTCGGGTGTAGGGATATGGGACTGAAATGGGGTGGGGGATGGTCAGGGTCTGGGCTGCTAGGGTTCAAAGCTCACGGGCCCTACGGATCCAAGTGGCTCCTGAAAGCGAGGAAACTGGGTAGCATCAACAAGGGAACGGCAATGAGAGGTCCCATATGCCCTAAACCCTACTCCCTAAATCCTCATGTCTAAACCCTTAAAAATGAGACTGGCGAAGGGTTCTTATACACAAAGTTATATGCGAGGGAGCCCGGAGAGGCACTTGGACGAGCATGGGACTTATCAAGTACAGCTGTAAGTACCTCAACTGGGACTATAACTAGTTATATTATAGATTATAGGTACAGCTGCCTTACTTATAGCCTTATAGTACTAAGACTGAGCCCCATGGACCTGTAAGTACTGCTACTAGCTATTCAGGCTCTTATGCTCCTGGAAGGCTCTTCGCACTCTCAGCCCTGCACGTGTCGCGCACCCACTCCAAGACGCCAAGGTCGGGCAGCAAAGGAACGACGGAGTAGGTCCGAACCCTGACGAAGTTCAGGGCTGAGTGTCTACTCCCTTTAAGGGTCCCTTTAACGGGGTGTATAGGGCTTCTATAAGGGTGGTTGTCAAAATTTTGGTCACTTTAAGGGTACCTTAAATATTAGGTGCCGTATTATAATCGGGACCCAAAAAGGGACCATAATTTTGACAACCACCCATAAGGGTATAATTAGGGTTTAGGGCCTACTTGGAGGTTCATGGGTAGTTATAAATAGGGTTATAAGTGGGGTCACTCTGATTATAACCCTTATTAGGGGCCTATAAACCACGCATAACTACCCATGAACCTCCAAGTAGAGTGGTGTACGCTTTAGGACCTAGGGCACCTGCCTTGCCATGTTACTTGTTTCATCTTGCTATAGGGCTCGTTTCAGCCTGACATGTCACGGATATTTGGGTTTAGGGACTAAGACTACCAAAGATCCTTCCGAAAACAAGTAGCAACACGCCACAACTTACACCTTGCATGAGCTTGCTACATATGGGTTAAAAGTTTAGAGTTTTTGATTTAGGGTTTCGGGCTTGGGGCAGCAATCCACAACCTAACCCTGAACGCATATCCTGAAACCTGTAGCAGGCACAAGACATGAACACACGTTCGTACGAATACATACGTATGTGCATTCAATGTCTGTCTCTCTCTTGCATGTCTAGATATTCTTAACGTCCATGTCAATGTATAGTAACTTAAGGGCCAATATATGCATGTATACTCTGCGGATTCATGGATCCTTGACGCCATGCCTTGGACATTAGAGATGCTTCGGGTACAGGGCTTCTGAATGCTACGGTGGCAGATGCTTTGCAGCAAAGTTCCACATACGCTACATCTGTGGAATGAGCCGCCGGGAAAAAGCATCTCTCTCGTTTCATGTGCTTTTGGACAAACCTTCCATCAATTTACGATATATCTGCATAAACCCTCAAAACTAAACCCTAGTTCTCGGTTGCGGATTCGGGTGTAGCCACGTTCGCTTTGTAATGACCACAGGCGGATATGAGCTCACGCGCCTTCTCGAATTCCTCTGGCTTAAATGGAGCGTGGTGTCACTGCCGTGGCCGCCAGTCAATGTCCATTCTTGAGTGTCTCGCATTTACCGTCTCTATACGGGCATAGTGTACCCCTTGCTAAAAGTAAGCTCCCATAATATGTAGCAGGTACGATCCATAAAACTAGTTTAAAGTGCCAGCATGCATTCCTCGATGTTGGAGTTGCGCTGAAGGACAGCACGTGGGCACGCATGCTCACCGATGACACCGACCTATAAGCACCACTATCCTGAATCCACTGAACCTTATCAAGACGAGCTGCGGACTCTTTATGTAAACCCCTATGCAACCCCATACCCCTCAACCCTACAACCCAAACACTAAACCCCGTAACCCCCTATAAAACCTTTCAGGAATCCCAGCTGCGCTTGGGGAAGGAGCCTCTCGAAGCTTGATCTTCGGAGTTTACAGTTCGATATCGATGAATTCAGGAGCCTTCATGGTGGAGAGGTTCTTGGAGGCATAATTCTCCGAATTTGAGGAAAACGATGACGATGACTCATTCCTCATTTTTCCGACCCCTATATTCCTCTGTCTGTGGCTGAAGGCTTCCCCATGGATCTGTGCACTTAGGAAGCAGATCAAAAAAGGAGTATGACTTTTTTAGGGCCTAGTATTAAAATTAGGAGCGCCTAAACCCTGCTTGCAATTGGACTTCCAACTACAGGCTCCCATGGTCACTGAAGCAATCTTGAGGACCGAGGCTGGGGGAACGGGAAAGACAAGCTCATCGCCTTGCTTGCTGAGTTCATATGCCCCCCAAAAGTGTACACTTTTAGTTTTTATAGTGGGTGATATTATCCCAAAAAGTGTAGTAAAGTGCATCCACTCAGCTACTAGGTCGATGTTCAAGCCACCATATTTCCCCGTGGTAAGCCCATGTGAACTACCATAAACGCCTAAGCGCTAGAGGGACCACATGACTGGGGCTTTGGCATTGCTAAGAGCCAGGTCTGCAGAACTCCGGAGGTGGCAACCCGTGACGCGACAGCCCGTCAGGCACTTTGCTCTGCAGCATGCGCCGAGTTGCACATCCAGGTAACTATAACGGTTTCGGTTGCAAACTCGGAGAGAGATCGAGATCCTAAACTCGAAAATTAAACCCCCAGATACACATGGGGTAAATAAACAATTTCAGACTTTCAGAATAAGACTACCATGTAAGACCCCCCAAAGTTGAAGAGTGAGTCTTGAACCACTAAGACGAGTCCAATTTCCCAAGCAGTAAACTAAAACCTCCAACACCCCTCAACTAAGGAATATATCTTGAATCATAGTAGGGGTCCTGTTATGATTGAAGCTATTTTCCTCAATGAAGGGGTTTTGGAATCTCCGGGAAGGTTGTCTGAACCAGAAATCATTCAGCACGAAGTCTTTGAGACCTACTACCGGGGAATGAGGTGCTTGGATGGCAAACCACGAACACAAGACACGAAGCGCGCGACGAAGTCATGCTAACTTAAATTGACCCTTAAGCTGTACTCTCAACGAGTCTGCGGTGCGAATACGACGACAAGAGTCGCCATCAAAAGAAACCTTCGGAACGATAAGTGACGAGCATGCGAATTTGCAATCCCCACACGTCCATAGATACATGGACCCTCAGGGAATGCTAATTTGTGAACAATGTCGGCCGACAGCTTCAATGCGTCCTGCAGGAGAGCCCCGAACAGGTCTTAGATGGTTTAGTAAGGATTCGCGGATACTTCTTTCGATAAGAGAACGATATAACCAGCACCCTGAAATCTCATCTACATAAGAATCCCAAACCCTAAACCCTGAACCAAACAAGCATCCCTAAACCCTGAATGTACACATAAGATCAAGTACTTACCCTAGGGCTCCATAGTAGTTCCTTTTTGGGATTACCTTATAGGAGTCTATATCTGAACCTCTAAAAGGAACTACTATGGAGCCTATGGGTACTGACGCAAAAAGGATTGAATGTTCATGCCTGGTCTGGGCGGTAGTGTGGGGAGCAATGTCATCAAGGGGCCAGGTTCCCAGAGACTCCAATATCCCTTAATTAAGGAATATACCTTAAATTATAGTAGGATCCTTCACATGATTTAAGGAACATTCCTTAATTAAGGGGTATTGGAGTCTCTGGGTTTTTCAATTGAGGATGTCGGGGCCAGGCTTAGAGTCTTAATGGCTTCCCCGAACGGTTTAGGGTTTATAGGGTTTGGGGTTTAGGGCCGAAGTTCCAGGGTTGGGGAATTTCTGAGCGACGGGGCACTCCTGCCACATGCCTGTACATTGATCGCTGATACGGCCTGCTGGAACAAGTTGTCCAGCGAACGAACTACGCACAGCCAACTCCTGAACCCTTGGCCCGTGGACCCAGCTCCCAACCAACCCCGTGTCCCGTCCTAGTCCGGACAGAAGCGAATCTCTCGCACCCAAGACCAAGCTCCCTCCTTTCACCGAAACGCTAAACTCTAATTTAATCTTAACCCTATGCCTCCAGGGACCTTATTATGGGGTCCTTAAGGGGTCTAGGGCCCTGACTATGAGGTCCTTGGAGGGATAGGTAAGCTCTACTACAACCTAGTCTCAACCAGGGCATCGGCCTCCTTAAACCCTAAACCCCAAGGGTGCATCGGAAAGACAAACCCGAAACACCAGGACGGGCGGAAGCTCCGAGTAGCCGACAGTTGGATGTAAGACTATTTTAAGGACCTTAATAATTGGAAAAGCGTTCTGGCGCCAATTAGAATACTATAGTTATACTAAGGAACCTCCAAAATCGTATAATTAGGTAATTCTTGAGGCCCCTATATTGCGTACCTGTAATGATGAGTTTCTACGGTAAAGCTAGCATAAGGGCTTTTGAGGGTTCATGTACCCATGAAGTACTTAAGCGTTCATGGCACTTAGTAATTCGGTTTGAAAGTAAAGGTATCTATAATTGTATTAGTTACAACCCCAGGTAAAGTACTTACAACTGTACGAACTTAGTCCAAAGAACCTCCAAGTTTTTTCTTTGACGCTTGAGTCACTAGGAGTACCTGCATAGGAACCCCTTCAAAGCCTGATTACATAATATATAGGTGCACGGACACCATTTGCAAAGCCGGCACTGTAATTCTATAATGTGGAGGTCGGGAGAAAAGCACGACTAAGGCTTTCGGGTGGATTGTTCGACTGTTGAGACTGACGCGAAGAGGAGCATTCCACCAAATAGTCAGACCTTTTATATTGCTTGGAGCCCACGGGTTATGGCAGCAGAAGAGTGACAGCCACGCCGACACACATCTCCTCCAAGATAGCCTCGTCGAATTGCTTTACAAGTTGTCGGTGCGTTTTAGGGTCTACCTGGACCCTAAATTACCTACATTTTTAAACACGTATACAAGCAAATCATGCTAAGGAACCCATAACAAAGGGGTAGGTTTCTTGGGGTTCAGGTTTGAGTTTGGGGGTTTGGCAGGGCGTCAAGTCACAAAATACTTGCATTCGGAACCAGTGATTGACTCGGGTTGGTGGCCCAATACACCTCCAAGAGAAGCTGGAAAAGGCATCGTGGTTTGGGAAACCGCTGAAGCCCCGCAACCTGAGCCCCCGAAACCTGAAACCCAATACAAAGGGTGTAAAGCTTCGAGCAGGGGGTATAGGGTTGAGCGTTTGTCGTGTTGCTTCTGTTAGAATTTATAGGTTTCATGATGGGTTGATTCGAGGTTCCTCCGGACTGACTGAGTTGTTGAGGACGCAACCCACAGCAATAAATCCCAAAGCGGATAAAGCCAGATCACATCTTTGCTCTCGCAAACGTTCCGATAACCTTTTCCAGGGTTTTGTGTCCAAGCAGCTCCAGCATCATGTGTGGTCGTATTCGGAGGGCACGCAACGCACTCGGTTGCGCCGAAGGAGTCTCCGTAGAATCCTGGCTTTGGTGTAGGTTTCCGAGTCGGTCTCTAGCTTCGAAACAAAA